TCATCGTAGTATTTTTTGTTTAGGGTATATTTGATATGACCAAATTATTGGTATAGTGGAGTCCCCGGTGTCCGCGCGGCCGGTGATATCGCGCATTAGCTTATTTCCTAATATCAACACAGTAACACAAATAAAATCGTTCTAGTTATTGTTTTAACCTTCCGAAGGGATAAAAAAGAATAAAACTGATAAGTTCAAGAGTTAATCAATAACTGCAATCCCGTGATTTACAATATTTGGCCAATTTCCATTAAAAAATTTCATCATCAGATAAAATTTGTTTTATTTCAGAAAATTTATATCAGACGGAAATTATTTTTGCTGTGCATCCTTGGCATTGTGTTTGGTTCAAATTCAGCTATATTTCGTTGTGTCAAATTTTTCCTGTATTCAAAATACATGTAAGCTATTTTTGGAAAGCATATGCGCGAAATCACCGGACATCGGAGGAACCCTCCGAACAGGGGTTTCCCTAATTTTGGACACACGTTACACAAAATCTTGAGGGTGAAACCATACCAACAGAAGATTTTATGAAATAAAAGTATGTTATGAATGTGATCACACACTATTATTCAATTATTGATTTTATCAGTTGAATGAAGTGAAGGCATAAGTCTTATGTGCGCGGATACACCGGACTGCACCGTTCCCTTAAAAACTCATCAAAGATACAAAACATTTGGTAGACAAAATCAAATATCTTGGGGAACAATCAAATTTAATGTTTTCAATACTTCTACCCATTATAAACATTTATTGTCATTTCACAGAAAATTATCATATCAGTGTTTTTTCTTGTCAACAAAAAAAAAAAAAGCTGACTATATAGGTCTGATGATACCCTCGAGGATAAAACGTCCATCAACAGTGGTATCGATCACGTGGTTGTAAAAACTCATCAAAGATACAGACGTATAGTTTGATACGCAAGCAGCGCGTTTTATCTGCACAAGACTCGTCAGTGGCGCTCGAATCAAAAACAGTTGGAGGGTCGAATCAATTTACAATGTCCTCTGCGTTGCACATGATTTATCTGTCCAAGAACAATACGTTCAATATTTTTTTTTCATATCTTACAAGAAATGTATGCATGAGATCGCTAACACCAGTATTTTGACCAAAAACATGTATTTCCAAGGGCATAACTCCTGTAAAAACAGTTGGTTGATACTTTTGCAAGACTTTCCTGATATAAGCTTTTGCTAAAAATTTCAAGAAAAGTAGGCATGAGATTGCTTAGGGGAAGAACTTTTGATATTCTGGGTGTGGAGGCCATCAGAGGAGAGACTAGGTCAGGAGAAAGTTTTGCGAATTGAATATTCATTTTCATCTGTTGCTACGCATGCTTATTTTTGTTCACTTCTGTGTTGCAATATATCATTTTCATTCTGTCTGGGGCAATCTTAAAAATACTGCTGCCCCCTTCGCCACCCCAATGCTCAATATAAATTACTTTTCAAAAAGACATAACTCCTGTAAAAAATAATTGATGAGGGCTTATTTTCGAATTCTTCCGAGACATTGCTGATATAAACCTTTTGATCAATTTTCGTACCAATCCTGCAAGTAATATAAGTATGAGAATGCTTACAATGTAATTTTCTATATATAACTCATATTTCCAAGGGTCATAACTCTTTGAAAATTAGCTGATCAGCACAGATTTTTAAAAACATTGCAGACTTGAAAACACTTGCAATGCAATCTTTTTTTAATATAATTTACATTTCCAAGGGACATAACTTCTGTAAAACTACCTTGTTAACGCTCATTTTCGAACTCATACAAGACATCGTTGAACTAAACCTTAGATATATATTTCATAACAATTCTACAAGAAAATTAGGCTTGATAAGCCAAAATGCTAGACAATGGTCAGGTATAATTATCTCCCTTGTCACACTCTTTACATTTATTAACATTGGTCATGTATGATAAGCTCCCTTGTCACAATCTTTACAATGCTAGACATTGGTCATGTATAATTATCTCCCTTGTCACAATCTTTAAAATGATAGACATTGGTCATGTATAATTATCTCCCTTGTCACAATCTTTAGAATGCTAGACATTGGTCAGGCATAATAATCTTCCTTGTCACAATCTTTACAATGCTGACATTGATCAGGTATAATTATCTCCCTTGTCACAATCTTTACAATGCTGATATTAGTTAGGTATAATTATCTCCCTTGTCACAATCTTTACAATGCTGACATTGGTCAGGTATAATTATCTCCCTTGTCACAATCTTTACAATGCTGATATTGGTCATGTATAATTATCTCCCTTGTCACAATCTGGACAATGCTAAGACATTGGTCATGTATAGTTATCTTCCTTGTCACAATCTTTAAAATGATAGACATTGGTCAGGTATAATTATCTCCCTTGTCACACTCTTTACATTTATTAACATTGGTCATGTATGATAAGCTCCCTTGTCACAATCTTTACAATGCTAGACATTGGTCATGTATAATTATCTCCCTTGTCACAATCTTTAAAATGATAGACATTGGTCATGTATAATTATCTCCCTTGTCACAATCTTTAGAATGCTAGACATTGGTCAGGCATAATTATCTCCCTTGTCACAATCTTTACAATGCTGATATTGGTTAGGTATAATTATCTCCCTTGTCGCAATCTTTACAATGCTGACATTGGTCAGGTATAATTATCTCTCTTGTCACAATCTTTACAATGCTGATATTGGTCATGTATAAGTATCTCCCTTGTCACAATCTGGACAATGCTAAGACATTGGTCATGTATAGTTATCTTCCTTGTCACAATTTCTTTACAATGCTAGACATTGGACATGTATAATCAACTTCTGTCACAATCTTTACAATGCTAGACATTGAACATGTATAATCAACTCCTGTCACAATCTTTACAATGCTAAAAATTGGTCATGTATAATTATCTCCTGTTTCACAATTTCTTTACAATGCTAGACATTGGTCAGGTATAATCAACTCCTATTCACAATCTTTACAATGCTAAACATTGGTCATGTATAATCATCTCCTTTGTCACAATCTTTACCATACTAGACATTGGTCATGTATAATTATCTCCCTTATCACAATCTTTACAATGCCAGAAATTTGTCTTGTATTATTATCTCCCTTGTCACAATTTCTTTACAATGCTAGACATTGGTCAGGTAAAATCAAAACCTTTTTCACAATCCTTACAATGCTAAGCATTGGTCAGGTATAATCATCTCCCTTGTCACAATCTTTACCTAACTAGACATTGGTCATGTATGATTATCTCCCTTGTCACAATCTTTACAATGCCAGACATTTGTCATGTATTATCATCACCCTCGTCACAATCTTAACAATGCAAGACATTGGTCATGTGTAATTGTCTTCCTTGTCACTATCTTTACAACGCCAGTCATTGGTCAGGTATAATTATCTCCCTTGTCACAATCTTTATAATGCTCCATTTTCTTAGGAAAATGTCTGTTTCAAGTCAGGAATATTAACAGCTGTTTTTACTGTTTGGTTTTGTAAGTTTTTATGGACTTCTCCCTGTTTTTTTAATCTACCTTGTAGTTCGATATTTTTGCGATACTTTTTTTCTTGAACTGATCTTTTGAGTTAAGCCAATTGGAATTGATTTTTACAGTTTGTTCTTATGTTGTGCTGTTACACCACTGTCCAAGGTTAGGAAAGGGTTGAGCGCTCAAAAACATGTTTAATTACGCCACATTCTTTGTGAGCATGACCAAGTCAGGAACCTGTAGTTCAGTGGTTGTTGGTTCATATAAATAAGAAGATGTAGTATGAGTGCCAATGAGACAACTATCGATCCAAGTCACAATGTGTAAAAAGTAAACAATTATTGGTCAAAGTACGGCCTTCAACACAGAGCCTAGGCTCACATCGAACAGCTAGCTATAAAGGGCCACAAAAAGACTAGTGTAAAACCATTCAAACGGGAAAACCAACGGTCTAATCTATATATAAAACAAGAAACGAGAAATACTTATGAACCACACCAACAAACAACAGGCTCCCAACTTAGGACAGGTGCATAAAAATGCAGCGGGTTCATATCTTTCATATGTGTTTTTGGTAAATTGTTTTGCTATTAATTAGGCCGTTAGTTTTCTCGTTTGAATTATTTCACATTTTCATGTCAGGCCTTTTATATTTGACTATGCAGTATAGGGTTTTCTCATTGTTGAAGGCTGTCTGGTTGCGTATAATTGCTTAATTTACCTTATTTGAACTCTGGTGGATAATTGTCTCATTGGCAATCATGCCACATCTCTTTAATTTTATATAAACATTGGTCATGTATAATCATCGCCCTTGTCACAATCTTAAAAATGTCAAAACATTGATAATTATCTCCCTTGTCACAATCTTTACAATATCAAACATTGATGCAGTTAACTATTTCCCTTGTCACAATCTAAAATATGTCTAAGACATTAGTCATTGTTTGATAAATACTTTTCTACTAGAGGTTATTGGTGTGTAAACTAGGAAGATACAGTCAGAAACTGAATAAAATTAATTTTGCCTATTCTAAATTCTAAATCCCAATCACGTTTCAATAGTTGTAGATATTCAAATCATATAAAAAGTATTGATAATTATCTCCCTTGTCAAAATCTCTAAAAATCATTATGAAGTCGTTGATAAACAAAATCCTGTTTGAATAAAGCTGTCCCTAATATATGGGAAATAATCATCTATATATAAAAATTAGAAAATGTGGTATGATTGCCAATGAGACAACTCTCCAACAGAGACCAAACGACAAAGAAGTTTACAACTATAGGTCACGGTACAGCCTTCACAATGAGCAAAACCCCTACTGCATAGTCAGATATATAAGGCCCCGAAATGACAAATGTAAAACAATTCAAACGAGAACACTTACAGCCTGATTTATGTACAATACAATTAACTAAAAACAAACATGATATACAGAAACAATGCAAATGAGTGAAACAAAGCTAAATATTCATATCACATTTTAATGAACCAATCATTAACTGATAAAATGTCTACTAACAACACTGTCAAAACTGATCATGTTCATACTTATGTTTTACTGACAAGTATTTTACACAAGCATGATATATAGATAATTACCATGGAAACTGAACAAAAAAAGTATAATTTGTTCAGATTCAATCACTGATTATACAAAAGTTCACATAAATTAAACAGATATTTAGTAACATATAGTATGACTGTGTGATATAATGAAGAGTTACTGCAGTAATATTGGTGACAATTGTCCTTAGTAGAATATCATTCTTATTTATTTAAATTTATTCAATATTCACCATTTTTCAGGCAATAACTCTTTAACTTATCTCTTCTACTTAGTATGCCATCCCTTTAAATGAAACAAAAACTTTCTTAATTTGATTCGTCACAAGCACTTTTCTGTATTAACTTTCACAAGAAACTCTCAAACCGAAGCATTTGAAATCCAATGATGCATAACATCAAAACACATGTAGATCTGTATCACCAAATAAGACCTAAAATTAGTAAAATTTTACTACGGTCAACTTTGCCTAAGGCAGTTGGAACATTAGTTTTGTTTTTTAGTAATTTTTTACTTTATCAATGAAGAATTTACGAAAAGTTTGTTGTAAATCATGTCAGTACCAAAGCACTGACTATTGAGCTGAATGGTGATGTAAATTCATCATAAAAATTACTATTTTAGGGCAAATTAACACAGACTACAAAACCAAATAATACGGAAACGTATGATCTTTTATGTTCTTTAAATAACTTCTTACTTTTCAACAAAATATCATATAATGAATACTGAGTACAGGTGAATCTCAGAATAACTTTGAATATATGCAGAGTAATTATAGTTCACACAGGCAAAGGAACTTCTAAACAACATTACAGATGATAATCAGACAGAAACAATGGGCATAGCTCACAAGAGCTTAATTTCAATGAATCCACAAACAAAAGAAACATTCAAAAATCACATCAACAAAAAATTACAAATTAACTTTTAAGGATGTGCTTAGGTCAGGTTTATGAATTTTTGTCACATGTTTGGACTCCTTGGGTTTTTTCCTTCGATACAGGGTAAAATATTTTGCCCTACAACATGTATATCACCCACTTTTTTCATAGAAGACTTAAACAGCTCATGAAAAGGTCATTACCAAAATTAAAGCAGATTCTAGATTTTTTTTCTTATGATTTGAGACCCAAATATGAAATAATGCCAATGCTAAATATAAGGTAAAAGTCCAAGTCAGCCTTTTCCCGCCATTTTTAAAAAATCACATATCTCAAAAAGGAGTTCCATAACCTATCAATATTTTGAGCTTATTTTGTTCCTTAACTAATGCTCTTCTGAGTTATAGTATCAATTTTAAATTCTAGATTTCTTTAATTTCACCTAACTACATCCTTAAGTGAAAGTCTTCCCATAAATCAGACAGAGTTTAAGAAATAGGAAAAAAAGAAATTATCAACATATATGGGGAGATAATGACCTTTATATAGTATCAATAAGGGGAGATAATTCAGTTTCGATATCACTCTACAGACAAATTGTCGTTAGTCTTGTATCATTTTTAATTTTAGTTTCTTGTGTATAATTTGGAGTTTAGTATGGCGTCCATTATCACTGAACTAGTATACATATTTGTTTGGGGGCCAGCTGAAGGACGCCCTGGGTGCGGGAGTTTCTCGCTGCATTGAAGACCCATTGGTGGCCTTCGGCTGTTGTCTGCTCTATGGTCGGGTTGTTGTCTCTTTGACACATTCCCCATTTCCATTCTCAATTTTATTTAACAAGTAAATCCTTTTATTGGATCATTAAAATATAAAATGATAAATCTTTTTGATTTCTATCTTACCTTATTACGCAAAAATTCAAATAAATATATTTTTTCTATTGTACCTAAAAAAATGCACTAAAAAAAACATGTAATCAACCTAATTTTGTTGTTCATAAAGACATGTTCTAGAAATAAATGAGTAAGTTCAAGCAAACAAAATGAGATTCATTAACCTTACATTAAACAGTATCTTACTTTAATCGACTTTTAAAGTCAAGAACTTTTAACTTTTTATATTTTGATTCAGAATTTATATTTGAAACTCGCTGATGAAATGCATATTATTATTTGCATTCCTACCATATATACCTAACATTTTTTCTGACAGCATGATAGTGGAAACACAGGATTTATTTGTTTTGCATAATAGTCCAACTAATATCTGGCAGATCTGTTTATATCAAATTCTTCAGATTAGAATTCTTTCTTTCATTAAAATGTTACACATTATGTTTAGTAGAAATCTAAACAAAATCTACTTTTTGAACATTGATAGAATAGCACTTTATTTATAGCTTTCTTAGATTATAATTCTGTGTTACAACTGTCAGTGTAGATCTTCCTTTAATAGAAGAGATGAATCATAATTGTAAAATAACTACAAAAATATATAATATAGTTCAGATATTCAAGTACTTACTTATGTCATAATAGTGAAAATTATTACTTCATACAAAATAATACTGTATCCGCTAAAAATATGTCCATCTGTCAAGAATAAATATTTTTGATTTTTTAATTACAAATGTACTTTAATATAAAGATTCCTGGCTTACCAATCCACTATATTGTCAGCTGATCAGAATTTTTAATACATTAAATACTTGTAAACGGTCACTATTAACTGATTAAATGATGAAAATCAATTCTTGTCTAATGTCCATTCCGTTCCATTTTACACAAACAGCACTTTTATATCATGATATTCTTAATAGCACTGTCAACAATAAAGTTTAAAATCCCTAAGTATAACACAGCTATAACAACATGGTCTCGGGACGTTCCATGAATTTTCTAAACTCTGCTAACCATTGTGCTCCGACTGCACCGTCCACAACTCGATGGTCACAACTTAATGTTACTGACATCATATTGGCTGAACTGTACCTGTAATACATAACATATAATTTTTGTTTTTAAGATTGATTGGTTTTTAATGCCACATTTAGCACTCTTAGCTTTTATTGTTAAGACAGTTTTTATCGGCAAAGAGGCCAGAGTACCCATTGAGAACCAATGATTTTTGGCAGTAAAATGGTCAATCTAATGAATTAAGATCTGAGTCAGATGCACATGCCATGATGTTTTAAGACTTTGATAGTATAAACCATGATGTATTTTATATGGTACTGCCTTCAGACAATTCAACAAATTAAAGAATTTTACTGGACATTTGCTTCAGTAATTTTAAATAAGTATTTGACCAAACATTGCATATTTGAGTTTAACTACCATTCAATTCTGAGGATCTTCTGACATTTGACTGTACAAAAGACCCAGAAGCAAACTATTTTATGATAAATATACTTTGCCCCCTTCCCCAAATTCTAAAAAAAAGTTCAGTGAAAATTCAGGAATTTTTTTAAATGGCCTAATTTTGCAAATTTCTCCCAGGCCTCCATAATGGGCTGACTGTGCGGTATGGGCTTTGCTCATTGTTGAAGGCAGTACGGTGACCTATAGTTGTTAATTTCTGTGTCATTTGGTCTCTTGTGGAGAGTTGTCTCATTGGCAATCATACCACATCTTCTTTTTTTAATCTTTAAAATTGTTTCTACAGAGTTACCTACCCTTTATCACTGTCTTCATCTACCACTAATCTTTTCTCTGCACCACCTATTGCTAAAATACAGGCCTGAAAATACATCATAACTTATAATCTTAGAAGTGCATTTTAATTCAACGACTGATATATTGTCAACCAGTATAATTAATTAAATGCAAACGCATTGATACACAAAATTGGCTGTTCAGCATTACACCCATCTTATTCATATGACCAGGTAAACTCAATTTTTGACAGTAAAAGCCACATTATATGTATGTCAAGATTCAAATACAATACGGTTATCTCTATTTTAATGTAAAATAAATAAATCAGTCCGTTTCAGTTATTATTTCGATGTAAAATGTCACAAAATTAAAATTCTGCGAAATGATGTTGTTGTCTTTGGCAACTAAACAAGGTGACGTCATATGTATGATTCCAAAATAATATGTAAACATGGGGCTTTTTCAGGATTCTTGTACGAATCAGAATGTAATAAAATTACATAAAAAAAACAGTTTTAGTTGAAAAATGTGAGTTTATTTATCTGTTATTGAATGATATAAAGTTATTTATATTATTATATGGGGGTAAAACTAAACAGCCAAAACAGAATAGTGTATATAGGTCATTCACGGTTGACAAAATTACCGTATTGGTCCTATTAGAATCAAAATAATTCATTGCAGCCATGAATAATTTCTTAAGTAATTACTCGTTTCTAAAACTGTGTGATAAGCTCACGATACCAATATGAGCTTTAAGATATCTTGTTTTTGGTGCTGATGTATTTATAATTGAATATCAATTTACTAAACTTCATTCATTATGCAATATGTCTTTTTCACAGAATATTTCACTTTACTTAGAGATGTAGAAATATTTTATAAAAAAAAAATTATTTTAATGAATCACAGGTTAATTTTAAAAAGATGATTGTTGTGATTTTTGTCTATATTTTCTGTAATGTAAAAAATGTGAAGCCATGTGACCTGTTTTTCCCCCATTATACCCCAAACAAATTTTAATTGTTTAAAATAACCCTTCAATCTGTTTGTCCATCCACACTTTAATTTTTTCCTTCTGAACAATATTTTTCACTCTTTTTTTTTTCGTCATGAAATGCATCTTTATTGCAATTATCTTTTTCAATGCGATTTTTTTCACATCACAAAAAACAAAACAATTTTTGTCTCAAACTTACACTAAAAATAAATACTAGCTAGAAATTGTAAAAAAAAAAATTAATTATCACTATTATACCTGAGGGGGGTTGATGACTGCTGAAAATGATTTAATACCAAACATTCCTAAGTTAGAGATTGTGAATGTTCCGCCCTGGAAAAAATAGAAGAGATTTACATATAACATAAACATATATCATCCTGAACATGCATGGAATATTTGCCACTAGACATTAAGCAACCAACAATCATAGACCTGTTTACCCCATTTAAGCAAGTAGTGTAGTTTATACATTTAGAAAGTGTAGTCTTCAAAATTTAGGTGTAGTTTTTAGATTTTACAAATCCCCACAAATTACTATCACCGATGAGTGGCGCATTCTGAGAGCTTTGCGAGTCATGTTTTGAAGATACCAAATATATAAATTCAATAGGATTAGTAATATTGAACACAATATATGCTTTCTTCATAAATTTTATTAATTCATTCTCTTATAGATTCAAAGATACAACCACGGTCTGTCCTTGGTCCAAACATCGAGAAATTTACGTTCTCTGACCTCTTGATTGTATTTGCGATTTGAAATATGTCTGGCATCACAATATATGTAACTAATTGAAAACTTTTGAACAGTTCAAGTTATTTATTCAAACTTTTGATAATATTTCAGTAAAACAACAATGACTAGATTTTGCGCACACGAAAAGTCCGTTTGCTATAACCCGCAGTGTACGTATTGGTCTCCCTTCTTGGATGAATCGAGACACTTCCAAATCTCAGCATATTCCTGCCGCTGACAAAGCTTCTTCTGCTTGTTTTTTTCATTTCCCCCTTCATCATTACATCCATGATACTTTTGTTTTGGCATTGCGCCATGTGTCAAACTTAAAAGTCACGATCACTTGGCCTTGCGGTCATAAAACTTTCGAGCACGATTTTCATACTCCGAGTACTGAGTAAAGTTTTATGACCGAGAGCCCAGAGCGTTTGAAAGACATGCTTTATAATTATTATCAAGCACGTAAAAGACAAAGATTACATTTTACGTTCAGATAACTTTCTTTGGACTCAAAATTACATACTGCTGTTTTTTTTTACTGTAACATCTTTGAAAGCATAGAAATGACCTATTTGGGCGTAAAGCGTATTTTGAGTGCCAAAAATCCTAGTGGTATTCAGGTCAGCAATCAATCAATCAAAAAAATACATCACCATGCTAATGTTAAATTAGATATAAATTACATGTAACTTTAACTTTTCTACTGTTCACATGAGTTGAAGCTTCAATGAATTTTGCAAAAAAAGTTTAAACTGATGTGGACAATAGAAAAGTTTGAATTGAATTAACACATTTTAATGAAATTATGAAATTTTAGGAAAAAATTATATAACATGTATAAAAAGAACCACAGATATACCATGTATACCAACTAAATTTTTTATGTAATATTCATATTTTGATGGTAGCATTTTATTTTAATTGAAAATTACTTTTGCATGCTTAACGTTCTGCTCTGATGAAAGTGTTTAATTGATCATTGTAATTCCACTATCTTTTCTTTAAAGTTCTGCCCTTTTTTGAGCAAAGAGAGCATAATTCCTGTTGTTTCTTTTCTACTCTGAAAAGGTCATCCACTACTGGCATATTTTAAATCTTCTCTACAGAAATAATCATGACTATAATACTATGCTCTTCTATGCGTTATAGACAAAAACATGATCTTATTCCAATAAAACATTGTATACATTTGTTTGAAGTCACAATTGAATTGACAACACCACTTCTATTTCAAAAGGCACTGGAGATCAAATAGACATTTCTGTGGCAGTTGAATGTCAAGAAATTCAATAAAATCTTTAAAAAAGCCAGTCTATTTGTGTTTGTACTTTTAAATTGTAAACATGCCATGCTGTTTTACAAATACCTTCGTGTTTCATCAAACAAATGTAATTGGCTGCTATTTAAACATGTACAATTTATAGGTCAATGAACAAAAAATATTAGAATGAAAATAATTCGTTCATGTTATGCTCTATACTCATTTTATATTTGTCAGTATAATGCCTGCCAAAAATATATTTACAATTTTAATAAACATAAAGCATGACATGTAAGAAATTTTTGTGCTTTATACCATGGAATTCAAGTAAATTGTGGATAAAGCAGATATGAAATAAAAGTTTTCACTTTAAAAAAAAGAAAGGAAGATTTATTTCATATATATAAACCTTTCATATAATCCCATAGAGATTGTAACTATTAAGTCACATTACCTGATATTCGTGAGGCTGTAGTTTTCCTTCTTTTGCCTTTGTTGCTAAGGCTAAAACATCCTGACTAATTTGTGATAGTCCCTGAAAAAATATTCAAAGTTATTTTCAACAGCATCTTAATATTTTCTATAAAAAAAAACTATGTTTAAAAAGAAGCAAAGTTTTCATTTTATTTGGTTAGCAATATATGTGGTCACTATGACTTTATACATTTTACCTCAAGGGACTTCTGGTGTATGATTGGGTTGTTAATTCATCATATATTATACCGTATAGCGGGTTATTTTCGCGGGTGTAAAATTTCGCGAAGTATACGAAAAATTTTGGAGGTTTTTATTTTGGTGGATTCTTAAATCCCAATTAAATATTTTGGCGGATACTGAAATTGTTGCATATAAAATATTGAAAAATTGAGAAGCAAGTTAATTGATTTGATTACCTAAATGACGTCTTATTCATTGATCTTGACCGGAACTTTGATGTACTTACTAATTAGGTTATAAAATTATCAAGACTGATTTACAACTCTTATGTAATTTGACACTTATTAATAAGGGTAATTACCTGATAGAGTACCCTACTCTCATAATTTATTTGACACTAATTGATAAGGATATACACACGTGACAGTCATTTTATAAAATACATGTATGTTCAATGCCTTTTTTATTTTTGTTGTTAAATCTAACCTATACCGTTATTGACCGACCGACGTTATAGCTAGTAGAAAGTAACGAAAGTATGCATTAATTTTCGGGGAATTTATTTTCGCGATTTTCTTTCATCCGCCAAAATAAGCGAAAATAAACACCCCGCGAAAATAACCCGCTATACGGTATATGAAAAAACGGTAAGTAAATTCATGAAGATAATGCGATGAAATACATTTTCATTGATGCTATGAATTATGAATCTGGTGTGAATAATTTCGACAATTGGAAAAAAAAGGGCACCAATTTATTTGTCATCTCAAAATGAACGAAAATTGTAATTGAATCCTTGGTCTACTGGTATCCACCTTGATATCTGCCCAGGATACACAAGGAATTATTTAACCAGTTCACAACTGTTACCACCTTGATATCATCCCTGGATACTACAGGAATTATTAAACCCGTTGTCTACAGTTACCCACCTCGATATCTGCCCTGGATACTACAGGAATTAATAAACCAGTTGTCTACAGTTACCCACCTCGATATCTGCTCTCGATACTACAGGAGTTATTAAACCAGTTGTCTACAGTTACCCACCTCGATATCTGCTCTCGATACTACAGGAGTTATTAAACCAGTTGTCTACAGTTACCCACCTCGATATCTGCTCTCGATACTACGGGAGTTATTAAACCAGTTGTCTAGTTACCCACCTCGATATCTGCCCTAAATATTAACAGGAGTTAATAAACCAGTTGTTTACTGTTACCCACCTCGATATCTGCCCTGGATACTGCAGGAGTTATTAAACCAGTTGTCTACAGTTACCCACCTCAATATCTGCCCTAAATACTACAGGAGTTATTAAACCAGTTGTCTACTGTTACCCACCTCAATATCTGCCCTGGATACTACAGGAGTTATTAAACCAGTTGTCTACAGTTACCCACCTCGATATCTGCCCTGGATACTACAGGAGTTATTAAACCAGTTGTCTACTGTTACCCACCTGGATATCTGCCCTGGATACTATATGAGTTATTAAACCAGTTGTCTACTGGTACCCACCTTGATATCAGCCCTCGATACTATAGGAGTTATTAATCCAGTTGTCTACTGGTACCCACCTTGATATCATCAGCCCTGGATACTATAGGAGTTATTAAACCAGTTGTCTACTTGTACCCACCTTGATATCAGCCCTTGATACTATAGGAGTTATTAAACCTGCTGCTGTTGCTACTGCTACATTTACATCTACTATATTATATCTGTAAAAAATAAAACAATATTATTTTTTCCTGATGAGACGATAATAATATACACCACATAATCATTCTATGCATCAAATAAAGTTGACCTTTAAGTAATTGTAAAATGTTCAGTGAACCATGCAATTGCAGTCAAAATTAACTTTGCATACAATTTATAAATTACACACCATGATGAAGATGAGCACACATTAATAAATTATACATCACTATGAAAATGAGCACACAATTTCGAGTAAATGAGACCACAACTTCATGGTAAACTACGACAAAAACTTTAACCCGATATGGGACAAACAGAAGGGATGAAATGCAGACCAAACTAACATAACCCTCCTTTCTTTCTAAGTAGGTGGGGCATAAATATCAAAAGTTACAATGCTTCTCAATTCTGACATAGGTTCCTATATGAGGTAGTTTCAGTTGCAGTTATTTCCCTTGATCATAATGTTTGAGGAAAGACTGGCTAATTTTTCTTATTTACTAACCATTTAAAACATGTGATACATGGAAGTCTGATAAGATGCTGACAACATCAGCGATGAATTAAACAAGACTTAAACAATTTTAAATTGTTCAGATATTTTTCTGTTTAAAGTCTAGTAGTCAGTAGAAGTATATCAAGTTGCATTAGGTTGAATCATGAACCAATTTTGCATATATATTGACCTCCAAACATGACAGCCAAGGGGAAATAACTCTAACTCAAATTATGCAAAATAAAAATCTATCTATTGATTTGTCCACCTATAGCACAATAATTGTTTCCTGCAAAAATATGACATCATACCTACATTGATTGATTGATTGTTGGTGGCTTAATGTCCAATGGCAAGTATTTCTCATACCTACATTGATTGATTGATTGATTGTTGGTGGCTTAACGTCCAATGGAAAGTATTTCTCATACATACATGAATTACTATGCACTTTAGAATGTTTATTCAAATGAAGACAAATGAGGTTCTCTACAAACTAGTTTTATTTGTAATGCTTACTGTCGTATTGAGTCGTCCATCCACGATGAGTTGGCCTCGGGAATCTTTTTACATGATAAGGCGGATGCTTTTATAATGAAGTCGTTAACTGATAATTTTATGTTGTCTTTTGATAAAATCTCATTCAGTTCTTTATGTAATCTGGATGAAAAGATATGTGCAAGAAAATTAGCATATTCACATGAAAACTGACCTCAACATAATGGATATCTATTCTGAAAATAGCTATAATTCTAAGATGATAAAATATATCAATCTCTGTTCAAGATTACTTTAGTGTAGTTTCATCATTTGTAACTGTGGGTTTAATTCTGAAATACACCCATGTAAGTTATTTAAGATTTTCTTTCTTTATTTCATTATGCCCCATCACATCAAGCAGCACTTCTGAAATTATCTATCAAAAGAGTCTAATCATTTTATAAAATTTTCACCTGTCAAATAAACACTTGGTATTCTTCCCTTTCTCACAGCTGAATAATTTCTATAAGATTTGCATATCTATAAATTCTATTGAATGTGATTGGCTTGGTTTTAAGTTTTATCCTCGGTTTACATTTCCATAGACAATGTTGCTGAAACTATTTTCATAGCATATATATATCATGTAAACACAAACAATATGTTGATTTCGATAAATTCTCACAATATACACATGAAAGGAATCCAATAGAAATTACAGGGAAATTAACAAATGTTTTGCTTATGGATGATTAGAATTAAATAGATTAAACTGGTCCTTCAGACTTTTAATAAGTTTGTGAGTTAATCAGCCCCAGTATAAACATCAATAGCATCTAGGAAAAATATGTTTAATCCTATATCACCATTTGATTTTTTATGACAAAAATTGTTGTTCAATAAAAGAGATGAAGAGTTCAGACATGTTTTCCTTTGGTTTGCTTAAGAAAGATGTCAAAAAGAAAATGATAAAAATCTAGAAATCCTCAGTTCAGGAAAGTTTCTCATTCAATTCATTATGAAAAGGACCAATGAAAATCAGGAATTTAAAGATCTACCAATTCCTTTTTGCTCAGGAAGCAGGAACATATTGAGTCTATGAAATACAAGTACAATTACCTTAACACTTTATCTACATTAACATCAATAGTTAAATAATAATGTGGTATTGTCTGTTTCGACTGTACTAATCTCTTTGCTATCGTCTTTCTCATATTGGTCAGAGGTATGTCTACGAAAGCGCCCTCTGGTGCTGATATTGGAACAGATGTAGACCTGGCTGCTGGTGAGAAGTTGAGTACGTCATCGGCCCTGATTTCTCCACCTGGACCTGTGCCTGTTACTTGCTGTAATATTTAAATCACAATAGCGTTATTTCATAAATTTTTGCAATTATATCTATGAGATAGGTCCCCCCCCCCCCAAAAAAAAAAAGTAACAATTTAAATTTTGACATCATTATTTCATGCAGCATTTTTACAATATTCATGTTATATTTTTGTCACTCAAAATTATATCAATTACCACAAGGTAAAAACAAATTATTCAAATACCCCAAAAGGTGTAAGCCAGGACTGACCATGCAAGACCCTCATTGGTAGTCAAGGTTGTTAAAAAAAATAATCATCGTTGCAGCATTTTCTGTAATCTCAATAATTAATCTAGCATTTTTGTTCCTTGTTCACAATTTGCAATAATAAATGCAAACAAAAATTTCTGAATATACAGTAAATATAATGCCAATCAAACCATTCTGGCAAAACAGTAATAATGAACTTTTTCTTAGGACTTTACAAAACTAGGCTGACATTTTGTTTATAAATGTAAAAAAATTAAGATCCCTTTTAGTTGTTTTATTTTCTCATTAGTCATGCCAGTGTTATGGGACTTTTATCACATATATAACTATGCAACTTGTTAGTATGCCTTAAAATAACTAAGGTATACTTTCAAAAATCAAAACAAAAATTTGACACACGGTTGTATATAAATATAAATGAGACAAATATCTACTGTAAAAGACCAAATGTTAAAATGAAAAAGCTATTTACAACTACAGACCAACATTGTTCATGCAATAACATTTATTAAATATGCATACAATGCATATATATGTCCACTCCCAATGTTTTTGTGAGTTTCTAACCCAGCTGTTCATTTAAGCTTTAACATGTCTAAATTGTCACTGAACTTCTTATTTGTCTGAAGACTTTTGAAACCTGTTTATGGGCAACAACAAAAAATAATAACTTCACTTGATTTTTGTGATTAGAAATGATTATTTTTCCCCAAGAGAACTTTTAGTTGAATACACCAGATTATAAATGAAATATATATATGCCCTGTGCATTTGGTATAACAACAATTAACATTCTTTAATTGAAATTAAATGCAAGAAATGAAAATTTGATGTAACAAAATAAAAAAGTAATTTTGAATAGCCTGTCATTCATGTCATTATGAATTTTTTATTGCAAAATTTAAATCTTCCTATTTGATCTCTGTCCACATCTTATACTTTAAACATTCAATATGTACAACATGTATAAAATAAAATGCTCCGCAGGGCACAGCTTGATACGACCGCAGAGGTCGAACCCTGAACAGTTGGGGCAAGTATGGACACAACATTCAAGCTTGATACAGCTTTGCATTTGGATTGTGATTAAATATTTGACACAGCATAGGTTTCTGACACAGAATGAATGTGGTCTAAGAACTTAAAAATTTTAAATTGGACATTCACCTATTATGGTCCAATATCCAAAATCTAAATACATGGTTAGATTCAGCATATCAAAGAACCCCAAGAATTCAATTTTTGATGAAATCAAACAAAGTTTAATTTTGGACCCTTTTGACCTCAATGTGGACAAAGTTGATAACGGGGCCCAAAAATCAAAAATCTAAATACATGGTTAGATTCAGCATATCAAAGAACCCCATATATTCAATTTTTGTTGAAATCAAACAAAGTTTAATTTTGGACCCTGATTTGGACCAACTTGAAAACTGGGCCCATAATCAAAAATCTAAATACATGTTTAGATTCAGCATATCAAAGAACCCCAATAATTCAATTTTTGATGAAATCAAACAAAGTTTAATTTTGGACCCTTTGGACCTCAATGTGGACCAATTTAAAAACGGGGCCCAAATCCAAAAACTAAATACAAGGTTAGATTCAGCATATTAAAGAACCCCAAGAATTCAAGAATAAAACCCCATTGAAATTGGTCAAGAAATAAGCAATTTATATGAAGTATCTTCTTTTGCACAATACTGTGCAATTAAATATTTCTTGCTATTGCGCAATACTGTACAATTGACAATTTCTTGCTATTGCGCAATATTGTGCTATTGGATATTTCTTGCTATTGCGCAATACTGTGCAATTGAAGATTTCTTGCTATTGCGCAATACTGTGCAATTGAAGATTTCTTGCTATTGTGCAATACTGTGCAAGTGAAAATTTCTTACTATTGCACAATACTTATAATATAATAATTTACACATCCTGTTTGGTGTGTATCTCCTACCATATCATTATTATTTGCTTTTAAATATAAATCAGAAATAACCAACTTAAAATGGAAAATTTTAAAAGAAAAAAAAAAGGAAAAAAAAAAATCCCCCCCCCCAAATTTTTTGAACCCCCTTATGATTCATCACCCCCAAACTCAATCCAAGCCTTCCCTTTGTGGTATGGTACCTTGCAGTACAATTTCAGAGAGATCCATACACTTGAACACAAGTTATTGTCTGGAAACTAGAAAAATGTGTTTTTTGGCCCCTTTTTGGCCCCAAATTCCTAAACATTTAGGGCAATTACCCCAAAACTCAAACCCAGCTTACCCTTTGTGATATGGAACCTTGTAGTACAATTTCAGAAAGATCCATACACTTACACACAAGTTATTGTCCTGAAACTAGAAAAATGCTTGTTTTTTGCCCCTTTTTTGCCCCTAATTCCTAAAATATTGAGGCAATTACCCCCATCATCAATCCCAGCCTTCCCTTTGTGGTATGGTACCTTGCAGTACAATTTCAGAGAGATCCATACACTTACACACAAGTCATTGTCATGAAACTAAAAAAATGCTTATTTTTGGCCCCTTTTTGGCCCCCAATTCCTTAACGTTTCGGCAATTACCCCCAAACTCAATTCCAGCTTTCCCTTTGTGATATGGAACCTTGTAGTACAATTTCAGAAAGATCCATACACTTACACACAAGTTATTGTCATGAAACTAGAAAAATGCTTGTTTTTTGCCCCTTTTTTGGCCCCTAATTCCTTAAATTTTGAGGCAATTACCCCCAAAATCAATCCCAGCATTCCTTTTGTGATATGGAACCTTGTGGTACAATGTCAGAGAGATCCATACACTAACACACAAGTTATGTCTGGAAGTTACAAAAATGCTTATTTTTGGCCCCTTTTTGGCCCCTTATTCCTTTACTGTTGGTACCATAACCCCCAAAATCAATCCCAACCTTCCTTTTGTGGTATTGAACCTTGTGGTAAAATTTCATAGAGATCCGTTCACTTAAACTAAAGTTAGAGTGCGAAAACCAATGTGTCTTCGGACGACGCAGGACGAAGACGACGACAACGTCATACCAATATACGACCACAAAAATTTTTTTGCGGTCGTATAAAAATCAAATTAACTACATTTGTAATAAATTTCAAATATTCAAGTAGCATCAAGGTCAAATAGACCATAATATCGACTTTTGACTCCAGTGTATAATTTTTTGATAGGTCACCTACTCTGTGGTAGGACATTCTGGTACTTGGTCAAGTAAGAGCAATGAAAAGAAGTAAAATCAAGCTTACAATTGGTGCAATTGGGGTAAAAAAAATAACTATTTTATGTTTTCTATACATCACAAAATCATCAGAAAACAGTTATTTTTTTCCCGAAATTGCACTGACTGTAAGCTTGATTTTACTTCTTTAAGTTGCTCTTATTAAATTGATTACCAGACTACCACAGAGAAGTTAATAAAAATGATATACACCGGAGTCAAAAGTTGGTAATATAAAAATAGTCTATTAATATTCAAATACTTAAAAAGTCCAAGTAATACATGTAGTTGAATAACACGTGACATTCCTTATATAATGCCAACAATAACAACTTGTTAGCTTTTAATGTGTTTTCTGTATTTACTCTAATTGTTCATCATCAATTCTTCATCTGTTGTCCGGGTGAAACATTTTAGATTTTACCTTTTATAAAGGGACGTAACACCATTACTAACCCTGTATTAAAATAAACCACAACTACTAAGCCCATATCAAATATACACGGTCTCCACACGGTTGCTTTTTACCAATGATATTCCAAGAAATGTATAGGAGGTAAGATAAATATATATATACACTATTCAAACTAGAAAGAATATTAAAGCATCAAATTTATATTCAATACTTAAACAATCCAAGCAATACTCAAGAGTCAAGTACATGTTGACGTCTTTAATATAAACTGCTTAAACTGGAAAAAAAATTATGAATTGAAATATACATGTATGTTGCTTAACAGTTTCATCCTATCAGCACAGTATGTTAAAACATTAATACTAATTTCATTAATAGTTCTCTGTAAATACTAACACTTAGATCAATGCCCTTCTCAGCTGCTAATGTCTTTGCAAATGGAGAGGCACCCACTTTGCCACCAGATGGAGGCATCGACACAGATGCTGAAGGAGGAGGTGGGGCTGCCTTTGATGGAGCAGGTGTTGGTGGTGGAGCCACTGCTGCCGGGGAGGGTTTAGGAGGGGGTGGAGGCGGTGGTGCAGCAGGTTCAGATGCATCTCCACCAGGAAGTTGGTCGTCTGCTGCCGTCGGCTGGTAATCTTTGAATGCTGCAACATCTTCTTCATTTTCTACTATTATACAGAGTAGCTGTAATAAAAAAAACACAACCATGATATGTGTAGATTTTAATTTTCTTATCTCTCTGACAGAATTGGCTTTAAAAAAAAAACATGCGACCCAGGGAAGGCACTTTGACATCTCTGCAATGAGTAGGTGTCAGTGAATATGTAAGTGAAATTCCAAAGTCTATATTTTAATTTTTTTTACCTCACAGGCAGTAAAAGTCACATGGGACAAATGGAAGGCACATTGACATCTCCGCTATAGGTGGGTGTCAAGTACAGTGAAATTCCAAAGTCGTTATCCCTTTTTGAAAATGACTTTCCTTGGTACAATGGAACAGCCAGCAGTCATACAAAATATTTCACATGCTTAAAGTGTATGCGCTGCACTGTACTTGTTAAATAAGGGTCATTAACATTACCGATGAATTATAACTTCTAGTACAAAAGTGTATGTGTATACAACATGTATAATTAATATTCTTTCCAACCAATTACAATGATTGATTCATTTTTGATTTTCAATGCACCTTTCAGCACGGCTGGCTATTTCGTGGCAATCAGTTTTTATAGGTAAAGGAAGCCAGAGTGTCTGGCTAGGAAACCTTAAACACATACTTTTTTTACTTATTAAAACGCTGTTTAATTATTTTTTAACATATGCCTATATTATTTTTTCATTGAATTTTTTTTTAATTGTGGGCAACTGTGCATAGTTTGTAAAGTTGCTAGTATCAACTTAGGACAACAAGTCCACTTTCTAAAATTAAAACATATTGATATACAAATTTGTGTGTCCCACCAGAAAATATTGAGTTCAGGGGTCAATTAAGAATGCTCCTTACTCACTTCAGTCCTAAAGATACAATCTACTAAAATATCTTATTGTCCCCAGCGTAACGCATTGCGAGGGACATGGAAATATTGGGCGTCAGTCTATCCATCTGTCCATCCTGACTTGTTAGTGCTCTCACAGGTACAACTCTTGCCAGACTTTTATAAAACTTATACTATACATTGTAGCTTACTATCAGCAATATCTGGGACAAGTTCTATAATGGTGGACAATCAACTTTTTTTTTAAAGAGTTATGCCCGTTGGAATCTTAAATTTATGGAAAATGGCCTAGTTAGCGCTCTCATAGGTACAATTCTTGCCAGATTTCTATAAAACTTATACTATTGGTTAATATCAGCAATATCTCAGACAAGTTCTATAATGATGGACGATCCACTTTTTTTAAAGAGTTATGCCCCTTGGAAATATTAAATTCATGGAAAATGGCCTTGTTAGCCCTCTGACGAGTACAATTCCTGCCCGATTTTTATAAAACTTATACTATAGATTAATATCAGCAATATCTCGGACAAGTTCTATAATGGTGGATGATTGACTTTTTTAAAAAGAGTTATGCCACTTGGAAATATTAAATTCATGGAAAATGGCCTCATTAGCGCTCTCACAGGTACAATTCTTGACAGATTTTTATAAAACTTATACTATAGGTTAATATCAGCAATATCTCGGACAAGTTCTAAAATGGAGAACGATTGACTTTTTTTAAAAGAGTTATGCCCTTGGAAATATTAAATTTCTGAAAAATGGCCTCGTTAGCGCTCTCACAGGTACAATTCTTGCCAGATTTTTATAAAACTTATACTATAGGTTAATATCAGCAATATCTCGGGACAAGTTTTATAATGGTGGACGATCAACTTTTTCTAAAAAGAGTTATGCCCCTTTGAAATATAAAATATTTGCAATGCGGGGGACATTGGAACTCTGTTCTTTTATTTCTTTTACTTTAATTCACTATATCAGGTAATTCTCCTACCTTTCCAATGGGTACATCTTTAGAGCCTGCTGGATGAAATATTTTGGCCAGGTATCCCTCCTCAGATGACTCAAACCCCATAGTGGCCTTATCTGTTTCTATTTCTGCTAATAAATCTCCTTCAGTGACCTTGTCTCCTTCCTTTTTCTGCCAGGTATTTATAGTCCCCATCTCCATAGTCGGTGATAAGGCTGGCAATGACACCTTGGTGTGTGCTGGTAAATCGGCTTAAAAATAAACTAGGTAAATGTACGTATGTTTCCTTTCTTGACCATGCCTTACTTCTCAAATAGCTACATGTATATAGACATTATAATACTGTAAATTCTGAATTTACAGTACCCTTACTCTAAAGTTCGCACTTAAATTGCGTTTTGTTGGTAAATCAGATAAAAGAAGCATGTAGTGATGTACACATTATATAATTAGTAAACTTAATATAAATCCCATGTACCTTCCCTTTATCCTTCAGCAAGTATTTAGTTTTAAATGTCTTTCTCAGTGAAGATTAAAATTACAATTTAAAGTTTCCTTCAGGATTACTGTGAATTCAATATTATTTGTGGGATATCAATGTTCGTGTGTTTCTTGGGTAAATGCATGTAAACCACAAATTTAAATGTTCAACAAAGTTTAAATTTTCTATAGGCTTGTATGCAGTCTGGCAAAACCTTGAAATCAAATATCCACGAAAATACAATGTTTCCTCAATCCACCAAAATTGGTACACACAAAAATAAATGAATCCACATTAAATTAAATTACTTCTGGAGTTACTTCCCTTAATTTCTATATTAAATTACATTTTATTTCAATAGGCATCCTTGTCATTTAATCTTTGGCGGAATTGTCTCATTGGTATTCATACCACATCTTACATAAAGATAAAATGAAAAGCCTCTTAGCTACTTTACCAAAATGTTAAAATAGGATAACAAATATCTTCACTAGCCAAGGGTTACAATCCAGTCCCCTCCTCTCCAGTCCCCTCCTCTCCAGTCCCCTCCTCTCCACCCAGGGCAGATTAAGTCAACATTTGCGATTACAATTCTGCGCCGTCACGCCCATTCAGACTACATCATTCTTGACCAATGACAGCACTTGAACTCTTTTCAGTGTGGACGTGTAAAATGGCTGTTTCTAGTGTTTACATTTTTCGTAAAGCAGAAACTGAAAACATATGTTGACATTCCAACATTTGCGTTAGAAGCAAACCCAGGAACTTCAATTAGTTGATTAAGAACTTTAAAATTGTCACTAAATATCATCCTATGTATTGGGGGTAAAGACTTGTTGCACAATCAGCACTTGGCAATTATTTATTAACATTTTCTACGTTTACACATGATCATCTTTAAGGCCATTTTTGATTGGATTCAGCCAGTTACAACTGTGACCAATGAAAATCATTACCTCGTGGATCCAATATTCTATCTGAATCTGGCCGGGTGGAGAGGAGGGGACTGGATCGTAAGCTTTGGCTAGCAAAGATGGATAATGATATACAATATTTGAATTTTATTCAAAATGCTTCTTGAAATTTTCTTTCAAATTGGTTGTATCTCAATTTTTAGCATTACTATGACATTTAATTCTGTTCATAGTACCTTCATTCTTGTTCATGAAATTTAATCAAAGCATTTTCTTGCAGCTTTTCTATGACATCTGGATATGATGGATGGACAGAGGGAAAATGGTACAATGAATACCATAATATGTCCAGTTACAAAGTGCTTTTAAAAATACATGTAGGTGAACATATAATTCAGCTTAAATGTTATATTGAAAACACTAAATTGCACCAAGGGCTATTCCAGAAAAAAATATACGGGGGTTGGATGGCACTTTATTTTTGTATGGGTGGGGACAGGTCAAGAAGCTCAAATTGTGTGATTATGTATGCAAAGTAAAATGCAAATTGTATAGGTGATGGCCTTATAAAAAGTGCCTTTGAATCCCCCCGTATTGTTTTTTTTTCTGGAATAGCCCAGGGTAAAAACAAATGATTGTGTAATTGCTATAATATCTAAAGACTTCATACCTGAACTATAACATCTGTAACTCTGGACCAATCTGTGAACCTGTAAGAGCTGCTGCACATCTTTTACTGTTGCTTTGCTACAAAATACAAAAAAAAAATATGGAAAGAGTAAAAATTAGACATTGTTAGTAAAAGTATGGTTTATATTCATGTTATTCATGTTGTTTTATCATCAGTAATATATCTTCCTTCAATCATTTTTGTTTATGTCATTTCATAAGATCACCTGTAAAAATCTGTAAGACAGTGTGTTGCACAGAAAATTTCTTTCCAGTCTAATCTAAATGTCTTTGCAATAAGGTATTTCCTCTTTCATGTCTTTGTTCCTACAAAAATGTGTGACACTTCCCTGAGCAACGCTCAAAAAAAATGTTATAAGGCCAAAAAAGTACAAAGTATATATGATGTTAAATTACTTTTAAAACATAATTAAGTTTTTGCAGTCTATTAAGGTCAAATGGTATCCCTTCTGGTTTCGATGTAAACAAAAACTGATGCTCATTTTTTTTACTAGTTTTTGGCAATAGGCCTCACCTGTCATGCCTGTGCAAAATTCTTGAAAAGTGTCCCTCTGCATCACTTGAACTATAAACATTTTAAATGTCTGAATATGCATGTTCAGTCCTAGATTATGTAACATGTATATATAATGAGATGATGTGGAATGATTGCCAATATAACAACTATTAAAATGATTGAGATATGAGCAAATCCAATACTGTAAAGTAAGCTATCAAAAGCCCCACAATGACAAATGTAAACAATTAATTGAGGGTAAGCAGATCTGGCTCAAAATGTGGCACCTTTCATGTTGCTTATGCAAGTACAAATTTGGTGAGTGATATGTCTCAATCTGAGATGGCATGTTCAAGGGAAAGAGGACAGAATAGTGATTAAGACAATTGGAACATATCTAATGTCATCTGTAAAACAGATATTCCATCACTATGATCACAATGATCTTTAATTAAAGTTATTTCCGCAGTCTTCACAATAAACTTTTGAATCTACAGGCCCGAAGCTGAATTTTACAACCTGACCTATGGAAATGACGTTTTTGCCAGATAAGCTAATAAAATTCGGAAGTGTGCCATTGAACCCTTTTGAATGAAATATGAATCAAATTAATTGTACACCATAAACACCATAATGTAATATTAGTCACTGGACATTAAACACTAATTCATCAAAATCATCCAAATACTTCTTATTAACAATCCATTCAAAGACATTTTTAAAAATGCTAAAAAGGAGAGAATGTGTATATATTTTGTTTCGTTATTGTACAGTCAGGGGACTTATTGAAATAAGTGATTTTCAAATCACTTATTTAAGTAGCAAATTCAAAGTTTTGTCACAAATTGTGATTTTGTAGTTTTACCAAAATTTTAAACACATAGCTTTAGATAATATCTTTTCATTAGTAAAATTGAAAAAAATGAACTTTTTGCCTCTTTTAAGCATCAAGGTTAATGCCTTTGATGCAATCATTTAGCTGCAAATTCTATTTTTCTTGAAAAAATGCTATAAAATGGTTTTACATAATGAACTGATACTTTCTCAACAGATTTTTCCCAGCAGTGGGAGTATTTTTCCTGTAAAATTCAAGGTTTCATCTTATAGATTATGTAATAAAATTCTACTGTTTGCGATCAAAATTTCACTGTTCGGGGGTGTTGAAATTAGTGGGGGTTATTAAAATAATGATACTTAAAGAAGTGATTTTTTGGAAGGAAATTGAGGTATGATACTTGAACAAGTGACTTTTATGTCATTATCCTAGATTTAGTACAAGGTCATCACCTGACATGACCTGGTCATCCTATTAACACAGATGTTGGTTCTGATAATTTTAGCAACATAATTAGTTCCTGGATCATTAGTATTCTATATTTAAAGCTACAATAAAATTAAATCACTTAGTCTAGTGATTAATTTGTACTACTTAAATTGGTGATTTTTAAAGAAAGACAACTCTTACTTCCAACCTTTATGTACATAATGTTACTTGAATCAGTGATTTAGAAAATCACTCATTTCAGTAAGCCCCCTGACTGTTGTAATTTATATATTCAACAAAGGAGTAGGTCCGGTAAGGGCCGATTTTGGCCTCAAATTTCAGGTTCATCCGATGAAAGATTTTGAACACTTTTTAAACACTTAACTGTCTACTTCAGTCTATTCAATTATGTTATGTGAAAGATTTGAACTGGCTTAGTCATTTCAGACGCTCAAAGTCAAGCTGAAATATGAAAAATCTATCAAATATGCCAAAATATGTCACTTTTCAGATGTTTTTTTGTCAAAAATGAGAATGGCCGCATCTGTGTTCACTCTCAACCTTTATATATGTTATGTATTATCATAAAATACAACGTATATTTAAATATTAAGAATGAACACAAACATGACAAATGCGGCCACTTCCATTTAAGACGAAAAACCATCTAAAATGTACCTCAAATGCATAAATTATGAACATTTCAGTAATTTAGCATGACTTAAGGGTGCTAGTACCCAATATATGTGCATTGTATTGTCAAAAACAGCCCATATTTATGTAGCAGAAGTATTCTACTTTCAAACAAATAACTAAAAGTTTACATTTCAACAATTTTGTAAAACTGCTATATTTTGGGGCCTAAAAGGGGTCTTACTGAATCTACTCCATTTAAGGTCATTTCATTTTATTCACTTTCGTTTAGTTTGTTTTTTTTCGTTTTTTTTTCTATTTTGGTTCATATTTTATAGGCATACAAAAATTCAGCTAAATACCAAAAGTGGAATTACAACATGTCATGCATGTACGTCTATAGGCCAGTTCCAGGATATAGTAGTTAGTTGAATTTGTCATGTGACTTCGTTGGTCATCCTCCTTTAAGTGGTACGGGAATTAAGATTACGTACTTACGGAACATAAATTATTTCTAAACTACCCTGCAGAATGACCATTCTAAAACTTTAATGATGCAGGGATACAGGCGCGTCTTCTATCTGGTATATGACATCATAAAGGCGTGCGAAATTGACGATATTTTCCGTTGAAAGACATGTTTCGAGAAATGGCCTATTATGACATCAAATGTTATGTATTCAGGTGATGCACAATTTTACAGGAATTTTTGTGTGGTTATAGGTTAAAAGGAAGTAAATAAAGATGACTGGCGCCACCTAGATTTTACATCCAAGATAATAGGTAGAAGTAAATTTATTTTCTGCTGTCCTTGTAATTAGAAATTAAAATTGAAATAGTGAGAAATGAGTGTTGGCCATTGGTGTAGAAATAGCGAGAAATTTAGAGAAAACTCTCTGTGATGAGCAACATTTTCTGTGCCAAATTTAGCATGGGGTGTTCTTCATTTATACTATTTCGAAAATTCCGGAACCGTTGAGAACCCTTAAAAATGCATTTTTTCTATCAGAAAAGCTGCGGCACCATATGTGTTTTGCAGTTTCAATTACACCCAACGGTGTTGATAATTCAGAATTCGACATTTTTTTCTATGGATCTTTGATAGTGAAAACGCAGGACCAAAAAAGGCTACCATTGTCGCCTATGTAAATAATTACTTCATTGTAACCTAAAGCGAAATAACGATTTCTGGCGCATCACTGTATTTTTCGAGATATTTTAGAAATTGGATCGGTAAATTAATAAGGTACTAAGTGATAAACTGTATCAGAGGAAAATTGCTGATCGCCAAGAAACTATAGTCTATATCAAATTTTTACTGTTTTTTTTATTCTTCTGCCTAAGGGGTAGGGTTCATTAACCTACTGTAAGAACGAGACTTCTGTCAATGACTCTGTCTTTAATCATTTCTCCTCATCCTCGATAACAATGCATGTATGTATGCATATTCAAAAAAAAGGGGGGCTTATTTTTGCTGACGTAAGCGAAATTTTTGTATTTTTAATGGCCAAAATGTTCCAAAATGCCCCTAAAATATTAAAATTGGGTAAAAAATCAAAGGCAATACATGTTTCTCCTTAGTATCGTCGAATTGAATATTCTGCACACGATTCATATAAAACACATAACAGCAATGATAAATTCTTAGTTTCAGCACTTTTATAGTCTATTTCATAAAATATTTTGACTCTTATGCAACGGTGTTCATATATTCGTGATAAAGACATATAAGTTGGACACAGTTATCAAATCATCAGCCTAAAGTCTTTAATAGGCCTAAATCGAACTTCATTAATCAAACACCTCGTTTTAAACATAGCCAAACAGTCAAAATAAGCTGGTCAATGGCCCCAAGTCTGTAAAAAGCAACGTTTTCTGCAAAGGGGGGTACCTGTAAAGAAAGTCATTTTTAAAGGTGAAAAATTGTACCTTTAATTCAAAAATTTGAACTTTAGCAGCAGGGGTATATAGTAATCGACTAATGAAAAGATTGTCCGATTTTATTTCAATATATGTCAGTATAGGTTAAAAGGAAGTAAATAAAGATGACTGGCGCCACCTAGATTTTACATCCAAGATAATAGGTAGAAGTAAATTTATTTTCTGCTGTCCTTCATTCCTTGTAATTAGAAATTAAAATTGAAATAGTGAGAAATGAGTGTTGGCCATTGGTGTAGAAATAGCGAGAAATTTAGAGAAAACTCTCTGTGATGAGCAACATTTTCTGTGCCAAATTAAGCATGGGGTGTTCTTCATTTATACTATTTCGAAAATTCCGGAACCGTTGAGTACCCTTAAAAAATGCATTTTTTCTATCAGAAAAGCTGCGGCACCATATGTGTTTTGCAGTTTCAATTACACCCAAAGGTGTTGATAATTCAGTATTCGACATTTTTTTCTATGGATCTTTGATAGTGAAAACGCAGGACTAAAAAAGGCTACCATTGTCGCCTATGTAAATAATTACTTCATTGTAACCTTTAAGATACAACAGATAAACTTGCATGCAACTGTTAGCAAAAACATTTCAAGAGATCAGCCTTTGGCAGTTTTGGTAAATAATAAAATAACAGATCTATACTATAAGAGAATCATCTGTCAGAATGCAAAATGTGAGAAATTTTCTTGTCTGTACCTTGATTTGACATAAAATTGATTATTTCTCGTAGCGAGTGTTCTCAAATTGTTGCTGTGTTTTCTTTGAAGTCGAAGTAAGACACGAGCAAGTCGTGTTGGACGAAACATTTTGAAATTTGTTGTCTGCAACTGGTTGTCCAATGTCAGCAGCAATGTCACAGGCACTTTGTGATTTTCGTAATTATTATCAAATTATTTGTTTCTATTTCTTTTTCAAATAGAAAAATTCTAAATAAATAATAAATAGATTGTGTTTTAAATGGGATAATATTCATTTATGAGAATTTTTACACATATCCGAAACTATATTAGTTTAATTTCTCGCGAGATTTCATTTCCATGGTATTTTGTTTACAAATGTCTGCCTCCATGTATTAGTTCACAGATTAATAACCCTTGCAATACAAAAAGAGTACCTTTCACAGACATGCCTGCAGGTATAAACGTTGATCTATCTCTGAAATTATCACTAAGAACTTAATATCGTAACTTCTTTTCTTTCTTCGTATAAGCTGCCTCCATGTAGGAAGGTATCGGGTCCGTTCGCCCTGATTTCATGTTCGCCTGGGTCCATTCGCCCGGAGTCCGCTCGCCCATAGGTAGCAATACATATTTTCCTATCCGTACCGTCCATAGGTCCAGAAATTATTGTAGTGTTTATCAACAAAGATTTGACGCTCGATCTTTTCAATTCAATTTTATGGAAAAACTAGCAGAAAGGCATATGAATTTTTTTGGACCTCTTGATAGATAAATGTCTATGGTTTCAGGAAAGGTATCACTCTAATTGATTGAAATTTTCCTTTGGACCAAATTTTGGAGACTTTTGTGACATTTTCATCCCCCTTTTTGCAATATTTTGTATCAAATAATGCAGATTGTTGCCATGGTTACACCAAAAAGAGATTATATTTCCCCTTTTTAACTATTGAAAATGAAATCTATGGAAGATGCTCTTTCCAGAAAAATACACATGCATAACTCAAATAGTAAGCCTTATTTATTAGATAGGAAGGAAAAGAGGGTGGTTAAAAATTATGAGTCAGTGTCAATTTTAAGATTTTTTCCTAACTGTGTATTGCTACCCAGGGGTTCAAATTAGCGGTGGTCCGAGGTCCGCGACCTTCCATTATTGCAATCAGACTTTCATTTTGGTTACTAGCTGCGCCCGACGGACCTTCGATTTGAAAGAAAAAAAATCAACTTTGCCAACCTTTTGAACCATCAGTATCGTCATTTCAAAGCCATATTACTATTGACATGGTATACCCCTCGATAGCGTACTTTCAACCATTTTAACTGTCGGCAAAATAAGTTTGATAACCCATTAGAAGTGATGAAAGTTACCTTAAGTAAATTTGTAATCCATTCATTGCATTCAAAACGTCATATTCCCTTCCAAATAGCGTTTCAAACAATCTTTTATTTTTGTAAATTTTTTCGTCCGCCATTGAAATATTTGTACAAACTACTGATCGGAGTCGGGAAACGGACCAGCTATGAATGAAATCCGGATTCTAAGGGTAATGACTACGGATCCATAAATGGCACATCTGACAGAAGAATATTGATCCCAAAGGGAAAAATTAAGCATTCCACACTTTCTTTTCTTTTTTGATGTAAAAAAAGTTCTTTCTTTATTAGTGCTAGATATTTAGTTGGTAGTTTCTAACAAGAGAGGAACTAATATAATTGTGCAACATATGATGAACTTAAACAGCTATGAATTTGAACTGTTACAAATTTGAACAATATAAAAAAAGATACATATAGCCCTTTATATTATAGTCAACATCAAACATTGTAGCGCCTTGAGTGAGCACTTCTCTTTCAAATCTCACCACTTCTCCCTATCAGTTTAAAAAAGAGAAGTCACTTCTCCCCATGATTCTGAAGTAGTCTAAGCCCTGAGATAATGGTATAATTACCAATAATTGAGACAACACACCCATCCACAGTGACACCCTCCCCAATACCAAAAAAAAAGGCTATTTGAATTCATAATATACTTGTAAGACAATTACATCATTTATTATTATACATGTTATACCACGTGACACTGATAGTTTAGTGCTACATTTATATGGTTGCCTGGCAATATATTTTAAACTTAACAAAATATTGCATGAAGTTCAAATATAATTAAACAAGCTAACCTAAGACCAAAAAACACATTAATCTTACTGAGTTATGAGATATTTCAAATAAAGTAGGACCTGGAATTTATGTTGTGGACCTTTCAGTTTGGAGTGTAAAAGGTCCTGGACCTTCCAGTACCAAATGTTAATTTGAACCCCTGCTACCATAGAGTTCGTTCGTCCTGGGTTCGTTCACCCTACTTTAAAAAAAAAGATAATATAGTGGTATTTTAAGATTTAATAAACATATTCAGATATTTATATGATTCAATCATATTACAAAAATAGATATTCTCGAAATTATGAAAAAACATGGAAATATTTAAAAAGATATGTTTTTTTTTAACATTAATGGGCTTAATTCTTACACTAATTTTGTTTTATTTAGAATTATTTTTAATGGCTGTTTTGTTTATCCCCATACATTATTCAGTGATCAGATAATCAGATTTGAGAGAAATCTTATGCTCCTCGGATACAAATTTGCTAGAAATTATATATAAAAATAAGGAGATGTGGTATGACTGCCAATGAGACAACTATCCACCAAAGTTCAAATGAAGTGGATATAATTATAGGCAACGGTATGGCCTTCAGCAATGAGAAAAAAACCATAACGTATGGTAGACTTTAAAAGCACAACATGAAAAATATGAAACAATTCAATTGAGAAAACTAACATATGGCCTGATTTTTAACAAAACAATTTACAAAAAACAAATATGACAGACATGAACCAATGACAACCACTGAACTACAGGCTCCTGACTTGGGACAGGCAAATTAAGAATGTGGCAGGGTTAAACATATGCTCCTTTATGATGTTTGACAAAAAAATCATGAAAAAAAAATAATGGTGCTATTCATTTATATTGCAGAGGTACTGACACAATAAAGTCTTTGACAGATTTTAGGTTACATTTTGTACTTAGCATTGACCTCTTTAAATTGATTTTTTCAAATGTATAATGACAAAGAGATTTGGTAATATTGGCATTGCCGATGAGTCAAGTGACCATCATGACCACTAAATACTAACATGACTAAAGGATAAGGATTTCTATATTAATATGAGGTCCTCAGGGAAGATTAGTTATATAGCTACATAAAAATGTAACAGTTAGTAACCGTGTAACCCTCTTAAAATAAAGTATTGTTGTTGTTGTTATATCTTAGCTACATGTAATTGCTGTGAGTGTGAGGTTTTTTGTTATAGGAAAAATCTTGAATAGGAAAGAAAAATCAGAAATGGTTTTATCAACTGCCACGTTCTTGTCAGTAGTATAATGTGTAAAATGACCCATAGATCAGTAGCCTTTTACGTAGCTTTTTTGTTTTTGTTCAGATTTGTAATATAAGATTTAGTTGACTGTTTCTGAATAAAGAGGAATCAAATTTTAGATATTAAACTAATGTCACTTAACAACATTAAAAAAAGTAAAAATATTGTGAACCCTGATAATTGGATATATATATTAAATGAAAAGAGTTGTGATAATATACTGTTAGTTTACAGTCTCGTGTACATTTCGACATCCATGATCTTAATTCACATCTCATTTGTGTGGCATAATTACCATAACTTGTAATATTGTAGTACATCACATTGTACTGTTTTTTATTTTAGCTGCAAATAATTCTTATATACTGCTCACAATACTGTCAACTCTTTTAATTTACAATCTGTAAAGTGTTCAGCACAGTATATTAATATTACTTATCCTCAGCTAATATTAATCTCATTTGTTTATCATTTTGAAATCACATTTTATATTTAATTCAACTCCTTAACTGAAATATATTTAAATTTAGACATCTTATTTCTAAAGACATATTTGTAGAAAATATATTGTCAAATAATTAGTGAAATTGTTTCAACCATTCATTGAATTTATGAAACTTTTGGAAAAATTACCTGCATGAATTGGTTTTCAGTAATATTTTATTATTATTTGTTCACTGTCATTTACATGGCCCTTACTTAGACTCACCATAAATTGCATATATGTTTTTACTATGTTTTAATAAGGTTACTTAAATACTGAACAAAAAAAATATTTGAATAATAGAAAGAAACCAGCATTAAAATGAAAAGAAAAAAATATAGCCAGTATGAAGCAATTAAAAGGAAAAAAATCCATTAATTTCTTTTATCAAAATTACCAAGAAGACGTATAACATCAGGAACAACAAAAATATTTGACAATCTGACAACAATTATTTTGAAGACCCATTGGTGGCCTTGGGCTGTTTTCTGCTCTTTGGTTGGGTTGTTGTCTCTTTGACACATTTCCCGTTTCCATTCTCAATTCTATAATTGAAACTGTTTCACTATAAGTCACTTGGTTACATAAAAAAAACAATGGTAATTTGTTGAAATATTTCAGAAAATCAAATTGTTGAAGGTAATCTGTCATGTTTGTGTGGTAATTTGTCATGTTTGTGTGGACATTTGTCATGTTTGTGTGGTAATGTGTCATGTTTGTGTGGTAATGTGTCATGTTTGTGTGGTAATCTGTCATGTTTGTGTGGTAATCTGTCATGTTTGTGGTAATTTGTCATGTTTGTATATATGAATCCAAATGTGAGTAAAAACATTATTGTAACCTGTGTTTTATTGTTGACAAACTACTACGGTACTCAAATATTATGTAAAACATTTTTTATTCTTATTTTCTGCTTTTAACATTTGAATATTGAAAATCATCTTAAAATTCTCAATTTACCGGCTGTCTGTCACTAAAGGAAGCAGACTTTCTAGATTCCAGAATGTGATATCTTTGTAGTACCCATAGTTTCCAGCAAATCAAATCAACTAACACTATGTGGATTTTTTGTGATTCCAACTTTTTATGCCCCTGCCGTCACCGGAGGGGGCATTAAGTGTTGCCCTTATTTGTACATCTGTCCGTACGTACGTTCCAGTATTAAATTTTCAGTACACTATAAAGATTAACATACATTTGTAGACAAACTACAAATGATGATAACTTCATTTGATTTTTGTGTATTTAAAAGTATATGGTTGATAGTTTTAATCAATGTCATAGATTTACAAATGATCTCCCCTTAATTAATGTCACATATTTTCAAATGATCTCCCCTTAATTAATGTCATAGATTTACAAATGATCTCCCCTTAATTAATGTCACAGATTTACAAATGATCTCCCCTTAATTGATGTCGCACCTCCATAATGTTATCGCTAACAAATCACAACCTAAAATTTAAATGTTGTTTAATTATAATAATTCACATGTGTATGACAGTAGTAAATACCTCCATTCATCCTTTTCATTCGTTTTACAAAGAGATAAGTTTTCACTCATCTTTCTTCAAATCACAATTTACATATTTCTCATTTTTTGATGTCGTCACTGCTTCCTATCTATAACCCTTGTCATTTAAACAAAGCCTGAGGTTGACTTTTTGCAACGATGCTAACTTGGATTTTTTGTGTATTTTTAAGGTAAAGGGCTGATAAGTATTAAATACAACTCTCAATAAAAATTAATTACACAATTTTTAGTTCACTATAATGATGATAACTGAAAATTCATAAATGTTGGCAGTTTATTATTACAAAATTGCAACACAATAGTCTTTGGAAAAAAGTTTTAACTCGCATTTAAAATTTTGGCTGCATTATTTGTAATGCAGTATTACCTGAAATTGAAATATTAAATGAATCCAGTAATTTTTGAAGTTACAGTATAACCAGCGCAGTCTAGATTACAGTATTATTATCATATCACAGATTCACTAGTTATCTCCCCTTATTAAATTTCAATCAATCAACATTTTGGATAATACGCATGTTATAACCTAAAATTAAAAAAACTAATAAATGCACATCTGATAAACATGATAAACATATTATCATTTAAATGATAAAAATTTATGTTTTCTAAAATTTGCAATTAGTGTTTATATATTTTTCAGACAAGAAGGACAAGAAAAAGGAAGAGACAACTCCTACTGTGTTGAAAGGAGTCTATGTTTTCCCAAATGGAGATAAATATGGTAAAAAGAGTTTTTGCAAGCAAAGAAGTTTTGTAAATTTGTACAGAGAAATTGATAAAAAAAAAAATCATAAGTCTACTGCAAAAAATATAGTCCTGTTCCCTACCCTCTACTTACCCTAAGCATACATATGTATTTTATTGACTTTTTTTGTTAAACAAGTGTTCAAGTCCAGTGCTTTCCCTATATAGTTTACTAAACATGTATTACGAAAATAAGATTAAGTAGCCACAACTTAGCTATAGAAAATGGAAGATTTTATGGTATAACAAGAAATAATAGAATATGTACTTTTTGTAAAAATGATATAGAGGATGAGTTTCATTTCATCCTCAAATGTCCCTTTTTTCAAGGTTTTCAAAATTTTTATATTAAGCCATATTATTGGAAAAAATCATCGATGTACAAATTTATTACACAATGTAAAAGAGCTGTGTAATTTAGGTAAATTTATTTTTATATCTTTTAAGCTTAAAACCGATATGTTAAAATAGTGTTTATTTATAATTACAACAGCTTCTGCTATTTTGTCAAATATTTTGTGTTTATATTTTTTATTGATGTGAATGTAATTCAAATGTGCACCTATAGTTTATATAGACTTTGTAAAATTATTCTAGAAAATACATACCCACCTATCCTATTTTATTTTACCAGGATCCATGAAACAAGTTTTTATTTTTATTAGTCTAAGAAGGACAAAAACACCATGGCCAAAAAAAAGAAAGTTAAAAGACAAGCAATAGTGCACAAACAATGCAAAGAAAACATGTGTTTACACGTGCACCAAGCAGCAAGAATCAGTAAAAATTTGAAATAATTCATTGAGAAAAATGAGCTGAATATTGAAAGATGAGGCCCCTCATGGGGGTGTCCAAGTAATCACATTTTTTTGCCAATATAATCACATAATCATTAATTATAATTTAAACAAGATAATCAAATAATCAAAAGTATAGTCCTAGATTATCAAATAATCAAATAATCATGAAATATTTGGTCTGGTAATCAAATAATCACTATAAAAACGGCCAAGTAATCACATAATCAAAAACACCATGAGGAGGTTCAAAGATAAAAAAAAACTGAATACATTGAAACAGATTTCTTTTTTCATTGACATTGTTGTTGCTATCAGTTTGTCTTTATTTGTTATTTCATATCTTTCTCTAACTAGAAGGAGATTTGATTTTTATATCATTTGAATAATTGGTAAAATGAAATAAAAATAACAGTAACGGTTCAAAGTACTATTTCTTTTTAAAACATTTTCAGAAGGAGACTATTTACATGGATCAGATGGGTCAATGGACAGGTCTGGTATGGGAATTCATGTTACTACAGATGGTACAATGTATGAAGGAGAATGGAACCAGGATAAAATGAACGGACAGGGAACACTGAAACATCCTTCTGGTGCAAAGTATGCGGGACAATTTGTAAACAACCAGTTCCATGGTTTGGGGACCTATACCTGGCCTAACAATTCAGCATACACTGGACAGTTTGTTGAAAACAGGTAAACAATAAGATCGATATTCATTAAGCCAAGCTCATAATTTATTAGATTTATCAAAGGATTTATGGGACACAGGTGATGCTCCCACTTGCATATAATGTTATAAAGGGACATAACTTAAGAACACTTAAAGTGACACAACACAAATTCGAACTTGATCTCTGTTTTGTGGTAATTAGCATTGTGTTCAAGTTTCATAACATTTGTTTGAGGCAATCTAAACTTAGAGAAAGGAAACTAATTTTGGGACTTACGGATGGACGTACAGATGGACAAGGGTAACAATGTCCCCTCCATAAAAATCAGGAAAAGTTTGGAAGTAAATTCAACAGACATAATGAATTTTCTTGATCATTTAAAATAAATTTCGAAAATAACAAATGAAAATTGGCCTTATGGCTAATTCATGTGAAATGCTAAAGGATATTATTTTCATTCTCTTTCAAACAGTTGAAATCATTGGTAAGGTTAGCCAATCTTTTATTGTTTAATTGTGAAAGGTCCTTGATTAGATGTTAATAAAAGGTTAGCCTATTTGATGTTGAAAACTTCTCAAATATATTATGATATGTCTTGATGAATGTAATGGATGTGTCAACTCTTCAAATAAATGACACCTAATGAAACCAATCCATAAAGTGTTATAACTGCAAGTCCATGTAACTCTAACAGATAGTTACATAATTAATAACACAATTTATTATTTATTTTTCTCTAATTCTAAGCCGACTTATACTTTCCCCAACAGGTTCATTTTTAATAACCAACATGTATGTGGCTGGTTTGATCCCAGTTCTTCATCGGTCAAAATTCAAATATGACATCAAAGTTTCTTGCTTTCCTCTTATTTTGCTATTGTGACGTTGTGAAAAATAGGCCACCATTCCTGATGACATCACATAATAAAGAACAAATCTTTTTACAATTCATTGAAAAAGAAAGATTTGCTATTGTGAGGTTGTGAAAAAAGGCCACCATTCCTGATGACATCACATAATAAAGAATAAATCTTTTTACAATTGATTGAAAAAGATAGATTTGCTATTGTGATGTTGTGAAAAAAGGCCACCATTCCTGATGACATCACATAATAAAGAATAAATCTTTTTACAATTCATTGAAAAAGAAAGATTTGCTATTGCGACGTTGTGAAAAAAGGCCACCATTCCTGATGACATCACATAATAAAGAATAAATCTTTTTACAATTCATTGAAAAAGAAAGATTTGCTATTGTGACGTTGTGAAAAAAGGCCACCATTCCTGATGACATCACATAATAAAGAATAAATCTTTTTACAATTCATTGAAAAAGAAAGATTTGCTATTGTGACGTTGTGAAAAAAGGCCACCATTCCTGATGACATGACATAATAAGAAGAAATCTTTTTACAATTGATTGAAAAAGAAAGATAAAGTTTGACAGCTCAAGTCTTAAATTTATTTTTAGAGAAACAGATTCAACCACAAAATCTCATGCAATACAATATTTCTCAACTCTTGACAATTAAATATAAATAATGCTAGCAAACCTCTGGTTTTAAGTTGAAAATTTAACTGTCTTAAGTGGTATCACACTTGATGCAGTGGAAGAATATATATTTAAATCCAGCCTACTATAAAGTAGAGGGCATTATTTTTTCTGGTCATCTTGTCCATCTGTCCATCCATTATTCAATCCCGTATCAGGTTAAAATTGTGGTTTAAGATACCTTAAAGTGTTGGTTTGAAGTAGTTTGTGGTCATATCAAATTGAAACTTGATACACATGTTCATTATTAAGTGAAGTGTTAAATATATATGATAAATCAGCTTCATAAGCAAAATTACACAGCTCAATTCATTATTATTCGTAGGATACCAAGTTTTGTAGATTTTGTGGGTGAAGGTGAAACACATATTTAGATTTTTAACATAGAACACATTTTCTATAGGCCGGTATCCAGACTTTTGTAAAATCACGAAATCAAATATCCACGAAAAACAAAATTTTTCCTCAATCCTCAAAAAACAGTATCTATGAAAATTAATGAACCAACAGTATGCAACTTAGGCTCCATGGTGTCCTATGTTTTTACCTACATAAATACAATTTGTTATATATTTACAGACTTGAAGGAGGCGGAGAGTTTACAGATACTGACGGACAGGTGTGGGAGGGGACATTTAGATATAGAGCTGCTCCAGGACTCAGATTTAAACTCAATCTAGACTAAGATAAAAACAATAACATCCAACTTGGATCTACAAGAAGCATTTGGAACAAAGACTGCCTTTATGTCATGGAAGAATTAACATTGTGTAAATATTGTAAATAAATCATACAGATCATTAATTTGTGTATTTACCTGTGTTCTACCTGTTACAGTGTTAGTTTTAGATCTCAAATTATCAAGATGGCCATGTTTACTTAAATAATTGCTATCACTTGGCATTTATTGTCCATTTGTTGTGGGAAGTTTGGTGGATCTCTCGAGGTACTCAGGATTCCTTTACAATAAAAACTGGCCCTCATGATATAGCCAAGAGGGCTGAAAGTGGCGGAAAATGCCAACAATCAATTCTTTTAAATGTCTGTTATCTTTCGAAAACAACTTAAACAGTATTCTCTAATCAAACCACAGAGGCAAATGGTATTTATTGTTAAAATGATTGCCCTGAATGGACAAACATGGATACTATAACTTCAAACTGAATTTAACAATAAAAATCAACTAAAACTGTAATTTATAGTCTGAGATAATTGATAGTGTTTTGTGAAACAAAACATTTTTGGTAATTTTAAAAAGAAGTGAACCAATGTATTAATACAATGAGATGTAAATCTATGCCAAGAAGACAGCAACCAATTAACATGAAAAGCAAAAAAACACCTAGTGATCAACACTTGTTCTTCAACAATGGACAAGTGTCCTTACAATATGTCAAGCTGAGTCTATACGGCAATGACTGATAGAACAATGGGCAAGTGTCCTTATAATATGTCAAGCTGAGTCTATACTACAATGGCTGCTAGAACAATGGACAAGTGTCCTTACAATATGTCAAGCTGAGTCTATACGGCAATGACTGCTAGAACAATGTACAAGTGTCCTTTAATACAATATGATAATCTAGGTTCATACGACAATGGCTGCTAGAACAACGGATAAGTGTCCTAACAATATGGTTAGCTGAGTCTATACTACATTAACTGCTAGAACAACGTCCTTACAATATGTCAAGCTGAGTCTATACGGCAATGGCTGCTAGAACAATGTACAAGTGTCCTTACAATATATCAAGCTGAGTCTATACGGCAACATCTGCTAGAACAATGTACAAGTGTCCTTACAATATGTCAAGCTGAGTCTATAAGGCAATGGCTGCTAGAACAATGTACAAGTGTCCTTACAATATGTCAAGCTGAGTCTATACGGCAATGGCTGCTAGAACAATGTATAAGTGTCCTTACAATATGTCAAGCTGAGTCTATACGGCAATGGCTGCTAGAAAAATGTACAAGTGTCCTTACAATATGTCAAGCTGAGTCGATACGGCAATGGCTGCTAGAACAATGTACAAGTGTCCTTACAATATGTCAAGCTGAGTCGATACGGCAATGACTAATAGAACAATGGACAAGTGTCCTTACAATATGGTAAGCTAAGTCTATATGGCAATGACTGCTAGAACAATGGACAAGTGTCCTTACAATATGTCAAGCTGAGTCTATACGGCAATGGCTGCTAGAACAATGTACACAATGTACATGTGTCCTTACAATATGGTTAGCTGAGTTTATACGGTAATGGCTGCTAGAACAATGTACAAGTGTCCTTACAATATGGTTAGCCGAGTCTATACGGCAATGACTGCTAGAACAATGGACAAGTGTCCTTACAATATGGTAAGCTGAGTCGATACGGCAATGGCTGCTAGAAAAATGTACAAGTGGACAAGTGTCCTTTCAATATGTCAAGCTGAGTTTATACGGCAATGACTGCTAAAACAAGGGACAAGTGTCCTTACAATATGGTAAGCTAAGTCTATACGGCAATGACTGCTAGAACAATGGACAAGTGGACAAGTGTCCTTACAATATGGTAAGCTGATTCTGTATGACAACGGCTGAATTTCTGAAGTAGTACTTTCTTAGGGTACGGCATCCCACACCCTTTGTTGTCTGACATCGTCATCCGTTAACTTTTTAAAAAAGAAAGCAAAAACTGTTTAAGGCAAAAAAGTAGTAAAAACTACGATTTTTCTCATTAGAGCGCACAATGTTGACGTTATTATGACATCATAATTGTCCTGATACTGTATTTTGTCAGACGTTTTAACATATTTTGTCATTAATTTTTTTTATTATTAATGTTAAATTTCATGGAATGTTCGGGCCAATATGGATCCGTAGTGAAACCTACTCCTTTGTTAATATCAAAAAGTATTAGCATAACAAGACCTGCAAATATACCTGCCTTAATACATTTTTGCTTTGTTTAATGATCAATGAATAATATCATCAGTACAAGTTATGAGCTGCAATTTTCGAAGACATATGAAGGAAAACGTCAAATTCGGTAATTGTACTGCTTTTAACTGGTTATTTTAATATATTTTAAGTTTATTTATTAAATTAGATATTTTAGCACATAGATAAGAATTAAACATTTGAATGTTGTACCTACAAGATAAAAATAATGTTAAAGTATTGTAATTCAGGGTGAAAACATTAAGTAACGTATTTGTTTCCTATGGTAACGTATTTGTTACATGCCTTGAACAGATACATTACATCTTATAATTTATTGGTTTCATTCAAGTTTTAAGCGTCACGCTCACTTCTCTAATTTCAAATATTATATATTTAAAGTTTATTTATAATTAATAGTTCCAGAACCGATGTATACCAAAAAAACAAAAAAATAATTATTTTGTGTTTAAAGAATGATTTGATTGTTTTCGTGGATTTTTGCGATAACAAATAAGCGGCATCAGATCTTTCACGATCATCTTTGATTCGCCTGTTCTTGCATCGTATTGTCTACTGAAAATGCTATATTTATGTAGATAAGATACTGAGTGCTCAGTTTTTCTGAATACATAATTTAAAAAAAGGGATCATAGTAGTAATCGTAAAAAAAAAAACTGGACAACACAATTGACATCAACATCTACCAACACCTGACGCGAATGAAAATAAACACAAACATATACACCATACACCATACAATCAAAACCTGCACAGTTCAGCTATCAACAGGATAACCACTTACTTTAGCAAGGAAATAAAGAAAAAAAAAACGACATTATTTAGAAATCGTGGTCTACATGTGCTCGCTTATACAGGAAGCTAGCTTAGGTAGTTACAGCTGGAAATTTCCGTTTAAGAAAAGAAAAAGAATAACAGTAATATTAAATAACATTTAACCCCTTCACGCACTCGACAAAGCAAAAAGCAAAGGGATAGTGATTTATTTTTATTTTGTTCATAATTTCAACGTGAAAGCGAGTGTATCATCATGGACCAAAGGTATCTCAAAAACCTCCTTTAAATTTCAGTCGGTAATTATCACCGGTCTGAGCGGAATTGCTGTTTGTTCATCCACTGATGAGACGGAAAAGGGGGAGGGAAAGTACTGAAAGAAGACAAGTTTGGCATGATAATGTGTTACATGCATGAGATCACCCGTGGTTTTTGGTAGGTTCGTGTTGCTCAGTCTTTCGTCTTCTATGTTGTGTTTGTCTACAGTTGTTTGTCTTTTCGTCGTTTTTCGTTATGATTTGCCATGGCATTGCCAGTTTCTTTTCGATTTATGAGTTTGCATATCCTTTTGGTTTCTTTTACCTCTCTTTTGTAAATCAGAAATCTCGTTAGTGGTCTATATATTTTAATATACTAGTGTTTTGTAAGCTATATGAATGAAGGATAAGTACTCAACATAATATATATAGATCTATAGATTTTTACTGAAATATATATGTTTTTTTTTAAAGAATGATTTGATTGTTTTCGTGGATTTTTGCGATAACAAATAAGCGGCATCAGATCTTTCACGATCATCAAAAAGCGGAACCCGATAATTCACAATCCGAAATATCAAATTTTTGCAAATATTCCAATTTTTGCAAAGTTTCTGATTAAACTCAAACAAAAAGCTCTAAGAACCATTTTAAACAGTAATATGGAACGAAATTTTTTTTTTTTTGAGAAAAGTATAGTTTATGCATTCTCAATATGACAAACAAGTCATGTTTGTTCACATTTTTATTTCTGTGGGAGTTGATGAGTAGTCTGCCTTTTGTAGTTTTGTAAATACTGCGTATTTTTTTTTACAGTTTTATTTTTCTAATATTTGGCATTATAATTCATCAAATTAGATTTTTTACTGACGTTGAATGTGTCTTCTCGATAAGATTTCCTTCACGATCATATACCAGATCTTTCACTATCCAATCGCAATACTTGACCTCCGTCACATATTCTTTCACGATCTTTTTTCTCAATATACGGAATGATAGCCGTGATATTGGTCAGCCGTTCAAATAGATTTAAAATACCTGTACATACCCGTAGATCTATTTATAGACCAGTCCGTTTCTATTTACTTATGTTGATATTGTTATCCAGTTGCTATAGGTTGAATACAGTTTCTGGTGTTTGTTATAACTGAAAACATTTGAAGGTAATTTTAATTAATATTCGTTCATTATGTTCATGTATCAAAACACTAATTTTACCTGTATTGTTATTGTAAGATAAATTGTCATTGGTCGGTGGACAAAATCTGGAGCTGAATAGTATTGATTAACTGTAAACAAACATATATACAAATGGCGAATTTCTGTGTTTTACTTTGCTGTAGTGCGTTTTTCACATATACGAAGGCACTTGTTTTTTAAAGATTCCTATTCCAGTAAGGGTAATTTTTATAAGGAAATGCTGCGTGATTGCCAATAAGACTACACTATCCATACAAACAAGGTCAGGAACAAAGATTTTATGAACAATTACAGGTGACTGTAGTACGGTCATCAACAATGAGCAAAACTTATACCATATAGTAAGTTATTATAGGCCCTGGTATGAAAAAATACGAAACAATTAAAAAAACCAATGGCATGATTTATACTACAACAATGTGTGAAAAATAAATAAACAGACAGCGACCAACGATAGACACAGGATTACACGAAGTTCACGATATGAAAAATAAAGTAGTAAAGTTTATGTAGAACCTAGTTTACATTCGATTGTACATCTATCCGAAACTATAAATGTAGACGTCTGTTTGCCTTTTTTCTTTTTAGGATAGAAATAAAGTCCTTAAGAAAATTTGTATTCATTGTGTAGAAATTACCTCTGAGAATTCTAAAATAACGTGTCTGTATATAATGTACTCCAATAAGGATTATTTAACATATTCACATACACTAATGGCAGTGAAAATATGAACCAAGATGTGGGTGAGGAAATTGTTCGACTATCAATAATATAAAATAATTTTAAGACTAAATTCCTAGAACCTGCTGTTTTTTTCTCGTCTTAGCTCTAGAAAGTTTTTGCTTTGAGGAACATACATGAAACTTAATACGATAACTTATTTAACATAGTTATATATATGCTACCATGCGATTTTTCTTGTGTACTCCTTATTAAAAGCGTCCTGACAGAGAACATGCATAGGGGAGGGTTAGGCACCCGCCACATTCTGCATGTGCCTTTCTGTAATTCAGTGGTTGTCGTTTGTTGTTGTATATCGTATTACAATTTTGTTTTTCATTCATTGTTTTTTACATAATTCAGGCCGTTAGTTTTCTCGTTTTAATTGTTTTACATTTGTCATTTCGGGGCCTTTTAAAGCTGACTATACGGTATGGTTTTTGCTCATTGTTGAAGGCCGTACGGTGACCTATAGTTGTTAACGTCTACGTCATTGGGTCTCTGGGTGATAGTTGTCTCATTGGCAATTATACCATATATTCATATTTTTTATATAACATTGAAGAGCTCTACATGGAAGGGACGTATTTTTTGTCATCAATTTTTCACACTGCAAGTATCTCCCGTTGAAGTAATTGGTGCATAGGAATCCTTTAATTTTTGATTTTCTTTAGAAGGTCTACTTCAAAGCTTCCTTGCAGAGGATATGCATAACATTGGAGAGTTCTGCTTGAAAGGGAGATATTTTTTTTAAAATCAGTTTCCTACTGCAAGTAGCTTCCGTTGAAGTCATCTGTGCATAGATATCTATTTATTTTTCATTTTTAATTGCAGAATATACCCTTGGACAAAAGAAGTGCATATTAACTTCATATATAATACACATAAAGGACTTTTATATCAGGCGATAGCATTGGAAAATGTCGAAAAGAACGTCGAAAAGAACGTCGAAGATTGTTAAACCGGTGGGTTCAGATCTAGATCTATGTACACAACATCGGGAGAAATATGTCAAATACTGTACACAACACGATAGTCCATGTTGTGCTAAATGTACCGCTGAGAAACACGTGTCGTGTAAAGAAATCATATCATTGGATGAAGCTGTTCGCCATTTTAAAGGGTCCGTCGCATTCAAAAAGATTGAGAAGGGTATGGTTGATGCTGCCAAAAATCTCAAACAAATCCGAAAAGAAAGTGAAGTAAACGTCTCTGTTATTACAGAGGAGAGAACGAGAATTGAAAGTGAAATTCAGCAAGCTAGAAATAAAATAAATAAATATTTGGATAAAATACAGAACCAAATGTCCAAAGAATTACACGAAGTTACACATAAGGTAAAGAAAAAGAGCAGTGATTTGAATGTTGTCATAAATGAAATGGAAAGAAGCATTGCAAACCAACAATCTAAAATAGATAAAGTTAAAAAGGACGCTACAGATGTTCAATGTTTCTTATCTATGAAGTCAACGGAAGCGGAACTGAATAAAATTGATAAAACAATAAATACTATCATTGATGATGGTGAATTTGGCATTTTAAGTATCAGTTTCAATCTCGATCCCGCCATGGAGAATTTGGCGCTAAACGCAAACAGTTTCGGTCACGTGATAGTGGAGATTAAACCCTTTCTCAGTAAAAGCATAGAGGAAATAAGTTTGAATTTACAAAGAACAATAAACACACAGGTCAAACAAACAGAAGGTTGTTGCTTACTAGACAACGGAACGTTGTTGTTTTCGGATTTTTTGAAGGACCGCGTGACTGTCCTCAGTGATAACAGAGAACTTGATATTCAAATTCCGATAAAATCCTCACTCCACGGTCTCACGGTTATCGACAGTCAAACAATAGCTGTCTCCCCCGGAGGCTCGGCTCCACATGTAATAAACGTTGTCGACATTAAAGACAAATCTATCAAAAAGACTATACCAGTTCATTCCGAAGTTGATGGTATGGTATACAGAGAAGAAAATTTAATCTACTGTGCAAGGGGAGACGGTATTAAGATGACGAATTTTACAAACGGTGTCACGGCTACAATTCTAAAGTGTAATCTGGGCCAGTTTGCTAACATTGCCAACTTTAAAGACAAACTGTTTGTCACAGACAGAGATGAGCATACGGTTACATGTTGTGATCTGAAAGGAACTGTTCTTTGGACATTCAAAGACACTGAAGTCCTTCAGAGGCCATGGGGTATAACAGTTGACAAGGACGGGAACATTTATGTCGTTGATTGGAAAGATAAATTGGTAGTTTTATCAGCTGATGGCAAACGGCACAAACAATTACTTTCTGCCAAAGATGGACTGAAAAGCCCGACTACTTTATTTTACCATAATCATACCAATCAGCTGCTAGTAGCAAACGAGAAGAATAATGCTCTCCTGTACAAATTAATATAAATCAAGTGCATGTTTGATAGTTATGTTAGATATCACTTCTAATCAGTGAATTGTATTGAATTAAGTCAAAATAAACAAAATATTTTAACACAACATTGTTAGGGGATGTTTCGTTGGATTAACTGAATTATTGTATTTCAAAAAAAAAATTTTGTAGAGACTAATCAATCGATATATAAGTAAATTGTGTTTAAAGATTTAAAGTAAACTTTTTAAAAAAATGTTGTAAAATCATTTTGATTTGTCTTCTTGGAACCAACTGGACTTTGCTTGTTAAAAGTTAGAAACACGATTGTGCATTTCAATTATTGAAATTCTGTAATATGTCTAAAAGGAGATATGTGATACACATAACTACGACAGTGACAGCAAACGAACGACACACAATCAAATATATGTACAGTATATTTATATAGTATATTAAAAAGATAACAGGTATTGCTCGATGTATCATAAATTTTGGAAAGCATATGGTCGTCCCGAGTCTGGGGTATACCCCCTTGATTGGAAAATATATATCATTTGTCCAAAAACATTTTCAATTTACTCTGCTCGGCGGTTTATTTCCCATTTTCGGTGATTACGCCCCCTTGTGAAAATCATGGAGAAAACTCGAGAACTGCAAAAGATTCTGTCTTCATGCACGGTATAGGCAGCGTCTGATATTAAATTTAAGGAGCCATGATTTCTGTAAAAATCCGATTAACTTCTTTGAGCGTGCTTTCAATAACTGGAAGTAATCTTTGATTCGCCTGTTCTTGCATCGTATTGTCTACTGAAAATGCTATATTTATGTAGATAAGATACTGAGTGCTCAGTTTTTCTGAATACATAATTTAAAAAAAGGGATCATAGTAGTAATCGTAAAAAAAAAACTGGACAACACAATTGACATCAACATCTACCAACACCTGACGCGAATGAAAATAAACACAAACATATACACCATACAATCAAAACCTGCACAGTTCAGCTATCAACAGGATAACCACTTACTTTAGCAAGGAAATAAAGAAAAAAAAACGACATTATTTAGAAATCGTGGTCTACATGTGCTCGCTTATACAGGAAGCTAGCTTAGGTAGTTACAGCTGGAAATTTCCGTTTAAGAAAAGAAAAAGAATAACAGTAATATTAAATAACATTTAACCCCTTCACGCACTCGACAAAGCAAAAAGCAAAGGGATAGTGATTTATTTTTATTTTGTTCATAATTTCAACGTGAAAGCGAGTGTATCATCATGGACCAAAGGTATCTCAAAAACCTCCTTTAAATTTCAGTCGGTAATTATCACCGGTCTGAGCGGAATTGCTGTTTGTTCATCCACTGATGAGACGGAAAAGGGGGAGGGAAAGTACTGAAAGAAGACAAGTTTGGCATGATAATGTGTTACATGCATGAGATCACCCGTGGTTTTTGGTAGGTTCGTGTTGCTCAGTCTTTCGTCTTCTATGTTGTGTTTGTCTACAGTTGTTTGTCTTTTCGTCGTTTTTCGTTATGATTTGCCATGGCATTGCCAGTTTCTTTTCGATTTATGAGTTTGCATATCCTTTTGGTTTCTTTTACCTCTCTTTTGTAAATCAGAAATCTCGTTAGTGGTCTATATATTTTAATATACTAGTGTTTTGTAAGCTATATGAATGAAGGATAAGTACTCAACATAATATATATAGATCTATAGATTTTTACTGAAATATATATGTTTTTTTTTAAAGAATGATTTGATTGTTTTCGTGGATTTTTGCGATAACAAATAAGCGGCATCAGATCTTTCACGATCATCAAAAAGCGGAACCCGATAATTCACAATCCGAAATATCAAATTTTTGCAAATATTCCAATTTTTGCAAAGTTTCTGATTAAACTCAAACAAAAAGCTCTAAGAACCATTTTAAACAGTAATATGGAACGAAATTTTTTTTTTTTTTGAGAAAAGTATAGTTTATGCATTCTCAATATGACAAACAAGTCATGTTTGTTCACATTTTTATTTCTGTGGGAGTTGATGAGTAGTCTGCCTTTTGTAGTTTTGTAAATACTGCGTATTTTTTTTTACAGTTTTATTTTTCTAATATTTGGCATTATAATTCATCAAATTAGATTTTTTACTGACGTTGAATGTGTCTTCTCGATAAGATTTCCTTCACGATCATATACCAGATCTTTCACTATCCAATCGCAATACTTGACCTCCGTCACATATTCTTTCACGATCTTTTTTCTCAATATACGGAATGATAGCCGTGATATTGGTCAGCCGTTCAAATAGATTTAAAATACCTGTACATACCCGTAGATCTATTTATAGACCAGTCCGTTTCTATTTACTTATGTTGATATTGTTATCCAGTTGCTATAGGTTGAATACAGTTTCTGGTGTTTGTTATAACTGAAAACATTTGAAGGTAATTTTAATTAATATTCGTTCATTATGTTCATGTATCAAAACACTAATTTTACCTGTATTGTTATTGTAAGATAAATTGTCATTGGTCGGTGGACAAAATCTGGAGCTGAATAGTATTGATTAACTGTAAACAAACATATATACAAATGGCGAATTTCTGTGTTTTACTTTGCTATAGTGCGTTTTTCACATATACGAAGGCACTTGTTTTTTAAAGATTCCTATTCCAGTAAGGGTAATTTTTATAAGGAAATGCTGCGTGATTGCCAATAAGACTACACTATCCATACAAACAAGGCCAGGAACAAAGATTTTATGAACAATTACAGGTGACTGTGGTACGGTCATCAACAATGAGCAAAACTTATACCATATAGTAAGTTATTATAGGCCCTGGTATGAAAAAATACGAAACAATTAAAAAACCAATGGCATGATTTATACTACAACAATGTGTGAAAAATAAATAAACAGACAGCGACCAACGATAGACACAGGATTACACGAAGTTCACGATATGAAAAATAAAGTAGTAAAGTTTATGTAGAACCTAGTTTACATTCGATTGTACATCTATCCGAAACTATAAATGTAGACGTCTGTTTGCCTTTTTTCTTTTTAGGATAGAAATAAAGTCCTTAAGAAAATTTGTATTCATTGTGTAGAAATTACCTCTGAGAATTCTAAAATAACGTGTCTGTATATAATGTACTCCAATAAGGATTATTTAACATATTCACATACACTAATGGCAGTGAAAATATGAACCAAGATGTGGGTGAGGAAATTGTTCGACTATCAATAATATAAAATAATTTTAAGACTAAATTCCTAGAACCTGCTGTTTTTTTCTCGTCTTAGCTCTAGAAAGTTTTTGCTTTGAGGAACATACATGAAACTTAATACGATAACTTATTTAACATAGTTATATATATGCTACCATGCGATTTTTCTTGTGTACTCCTTATTAAAAGCGTCCTGACAGAGAACATGCATAGGGGAGGGTTAGGCACCCGCCACATTCTGCATGTGCCTTTCTGTAATTCAGTGGTTGTCGTTTGTTGTTGTATATCGTATTACAATTTTGTTTTTCATTCATTGTTTTTTACATAATTCAGGCCGTTAGTTTTCTCGTTTTAATTGTTTTACATTTGTCATTTCGGGGCCTTTTAAAGCTGACTATACGGTATGGTTTTTGCTCATTGTTGAAGGCCGTACGGTGACCTATAGTTGTTAACGTCTACGTCATTGGGTCTCTGGGTGATAGTTGTCTCATTGGCAATTATACCATATATTCATATTTTTTATATAACATTGAAGAGCTCTACATGGAAGGGACGTATTTTTTGTCATCAATTTTTCACACTGCAAGTATCTCCCGTTGAAGTAATTGGTGCATAGGAATCCTTTAATTTTTGATTTTCTTTAGAAGGTCTACTTCAAAGCTTCCTTGCAGAGGATATGCATAACATTGGAGAGTTCTGCTTGAAAGGGAGATATTTTTTTTAAAATCAGTTTCCTACTGCAAGTAGCTTCCGTTGAAGTCATCTGTGCATAGATATCTATTTATTTTTCATTTTTAATTGCAGAATATACCCTTGGACAAAAGAAGTGCATATTAACTTCATATATAATACACATAAAGGACTTTTATATCAGGCGATAGCATTGGAAAATGTCGAAAAGAACGTCGAAAAGAACGTCGAAGATTGTTAAACCGGTGGGTTCAGATCTAGATCTATGTACACAACATCGGGAGAAATATGTCAAATACTGTACACAACACGATAGTCCATGTTGTGCTAAATGTACCGCTGAGAAACACGTGTCGTGTAAAGAAATCATATCATTGGATGAAGCTGTTCGCCATTTTAAAGGGTCCGTCGCATTCAAAAAGATTGAGAAGGGTATGGTTGATGCTGCCAAAAATCTCAAACAAATCCGAAAAGAAAGTGAAGTAAACGTCTCTGTTATTACAGAGGAGAGAACGAGAATTGAAAGTGAAATTCAGCAAGCTAGAAATAAAATAAATAAATATTTGGATAAAATACAGAACCAAATGTCCAAAGAATTACACGAAGTTACACATAAGGTAAAGAAAAAGAGCAGTGATTTGAATGTTGTCATAAATGAAATGGAAAGAAGCATTGCAAACCAACAATCTAAAATAGATAAAGTTAAAAAGGACGCTACAGATGTTCAATGTTTCTTATCTATGAAGTCAACGGAAGCGGAACTGAATAAAATTGATAAAACAATAAATACTATCATTGATGATGGTGAATTTGGCATTTTAAGTATCAGTTTCAATCTCGATCCCGCCATGGAGAATTTGGCGCTAAACGCAAACAGTTTCGGTCACGTGATAGTGGAGATTAAACCCTTTCTCAGTAAAAGCATAGAGGAAATAAGTTTGAATTTACAAAGAACAATAAACACACAGGTCAAACAAACAGAAGGTTGTTGCTTACTAGACAACGGAACGTTGTTGTTTTCGGATTTTTTGAAGGACCGCGTGACTGTCCTCAGTGATAACAGAGAACTTGATATTCAAATTCCGATAAAATCCTCACTCCACGGTCTCACGGTTATCGACAGTCAAACAATAGCTGTCTCCCCCGGAGGCTCGGCTCCACATGTAATAAACGTTGTCGACATTAAAGACAAATCTATCAAAAAGACTATACCAGTTCATTCCGAAGTTGATGGTATGGTATACAGAGAAGAAAATTTAATCTACTGTGCAAGGGGAGACGGTATTAAGATGACGAATTTTACAAACGGTGTCACGGCTACAATTCTAAAGTGTAATCTGGGCCAGTTTGCTAACATTGCCAACTTTAAAGACAAACTGTTTGTCACAGACAGAGATGAGCATACGGTTACATGTTGTGATCTGAAAGGAACTGTTCTTTGGACATTCAAAGACACTGAAGTCCTTCAGAGGCCATGGGGTATAACAGTTGACAAGGACGGGAACATTTATGTCGTTGATTGGAAAGATAAATTGGTAGTTTTATCAGCTGATGGCAAA